ATAAAGACCAAAATGTGCATAACTGCTGCAAATTATTAACCTGTGTTTTCCTTTTGTTTTTGTTTTTGTTTTTTTATTTTTTGTTTTCAAATAACTTCTCTTTATGGCTACAATTTGCTAGGAACTCAATAAATCTTAGGTAAATAACGTTTTAAATATTACATCTTATTGTCTACCTACTATGTGCTGAGCACACAGAACATGTGCATTACTTTAAGGTATTTTATTTCCATTATAGAGATGAGAATTGTACATCAGTCCAAAGTATTAAATTTATAAAAAAATCTTAGAGACATTTAAGAATAGGTATTGTTCTAATATAATAGTACTATTTATAAATAAAATTTCATAAATTGAAGCAATTTTACCAAAGTGAAAATCACCAGATAGTGTGTTATTCTAAGCAAGTATGCTGGTCTCAGTTATCCTTGATATAAACTTGCATTCCAAAGGCTTAGGTTATTTGACAAGTTTCTGCACTGGATTAAATTATTTGGCAATTCTTTCCTGATTCCTTTCATTGGCTACTCTGCAGATATCTCAGTGACCCACACCTCAGTGTTTTGCCCTCTTCTCAATCCACACTCCATCCTTTGAATACTGGGTTTCAAACTTTAGATCATGCCACACAATTAGTTACATATTTTATTCACAATACACTGAATAAAATGCAAACAAAAATGTCATGAAGCAATATTTATCCTACTATATGAGATAAATCTGATACTTTTTCTCTGTGCTTGTTAGTTTTTTTAAAATGCTTGTTAGGTTTTTTTAAATGCTAGTTGTTACTCATTACATTGATTTCCTAACTCATTAATGGGGTACAACTTACAATATGATAGCACTGTTCTGGGTGATCTCCAGTCCTATAGCTTTAAATATTATCTGACTCTTACATGTATATCCCGGCCACATCTTCTCCCCTAACTCGAGACTCCTATATTCTTGACATGTCCCTATGGATGTTTTCCTAAACTGCTCCCCTTCCCTTAGTGTTCTACTTCCAGGTAAAATGACAACACCAATCACCCAGATGCTCAAGCCAAAAACTTCAAAGTCCCACTCAACTTCTTTTTCTCTCTCTCATACTCTGCCATCTTTACCTTTGAAATATATGCTAAATCCAACTCCTTAGCACCTCTACTACTACCACTTTAATCTAAGTCATCACCAGTGCTTACAAGGATTACTACAAAAGCCTATTAACTATTTTCCTCCATTTTCCACAAAACAGTCCATTCTCCAACAACAGGGTGATCCTGAAAAACATAAATCACATCATGTCTCCTGCTCAAAACCATCCAATGGCTCTTCAGCACACTGAGAATAAAATCCAAATTTCCTGTATGGCCTACAGGCCTACTGTGAGCCTAGCTATCCTTTTCTGACCTCATCTCTTATCCTTCTTCACTCCCTTCCAGCCATAGTTGTCCTTGCTGTTTTTAGAAGGTGCCAGAAATGCTCCCACTTGAGAAATTTTGTACTTGTTCCTTCGCCTAGAATGCCTTTCTCCAAGAGATTCGCATGGCTTGCTCCCTCATTTCATTGATTTCTCTGAGTAAATATCAACACAGAACAGCCTCTCCTGACTGCCTGACTTGAAAAAGCACTCCCTAGCCTCTTACCTAGCTTTCCTTTTTCTTCATAGTTCTTATTACCTAACACTATAATACCTCCAGTGCTTAATGAGCTCAAAACTTTAGTTCAAGGAATGGATATGTACATATGTGAATTTCAGTAATCACTGCCTGGGAGTATTATTAAGAACTTTAGTCTCAGTACAACATGAATCTCATTCTTCATGACACCATTCTTTATTTTAAGAACCAAGTATAAACTAAAATGAAGAAACAAGATCATCTTTGTGAGGTGAACTGAGAAAAGTGTGAACAGAATCTAACTAAACTCGTAAAGAAAGCATGGAAGTTTTTATGTATACTGTTATCCAGGGCAAAGGAATTAGGAATCTTAACTGGATTCCATACATGTGTCTAGCAAGAATATTTATAAAACAAGAATTATAAAGTAATAAATTAGACCCAAGACTGTTGAGCCAGACTGAGTGCAAATCCTGGTTCTGATTCTTAGAAGCTATAACTTTTCTACATATGTGTTTCCTCACTTACATAATAACATGGAGACAATAATAACTATACCTACCATGTAGTGTGCTGTACAGAACAAAGCTTGTCACATATTAAAGTCCTTAAATAAATACTAGCTACTGTTATTCCTTTATAATTTATAACCAAATTCCTTACCAATTGGCACTATTAAAATATGCAAACTTTGATGGGCAAAACTCAATTATGCTTTATATTTCCAAGCTTCTTTCTAAAAAAAGGGATTTATACTGATTGAAAAGTTTTTCCCAGCCAAAAACTGAAAAAAATATATTTGTTACTGAGGCTGAAAGCCAGGTAACCATGAAATTATAAAACATAAATGTGAAACCCTTAGTCCATGTGCATATAAATCTATTATATTGTACAAAATAAGTTCAACACAGTTTATAAGTCTGAAAAAATTACAAACTTTTCTTAAAGATTAAAATTTAATATTGCTTAAATTCTCTCCTACATCATATATACAACATTTTGAATTTTATAACTTAGCCTATGTCTTATGCTTTTCATAAAACAACACTATCTGGTTGAAAATTGTACCCTATTTTATTACAATAATATAGATTTAACAACAACAACAAAAAAGACAAAACTTACCCCTGGCCTACACGGATAGACAGCAGCCAATTACCTTAAATATTTAAGGTCAAAAAAGATAAGAAAAAACTGAGATTTTTCAAGCTCATTAAATATGTAATATGGGATGCAGTTAATTCCTAGAGAACAAACGCTATGATTAAAATTAACTGTTTTCTTACCCTGTAAAGATGTAGAGTAAAAAGTTTTGAAGTGAAAAGCTTTCTGTAATCTTAGCCTTAAATGAAGTGTGTAATCTCTCTGGAGAATCATCTGTTGCCATGGAGTCATAATGCCTGCAGCTAAACCTGACCTCATAATTAACAGGGATCCACAGCGCAAACGGCAAACACCTTAGAAATATCAAGTATGAAATAAAATTATTGAATTTTCACAGCAAACAATACCTGAGCTGGTTTTAATCTAAATGGCTTAAATATCTGTATTCCAAGTATTCCAGTATTCTGCAAAACAGAATTCCATAGGCTACCTTAAATACCTTATAATAAAAACAACATATATCAGGGAACTGTGTATACTACAGATGTTATTAGTTAGCCGGCTCCAGAATTTGTTAATTTTGAGGCCTGCTAAATTGTTGCTGTTAGAAAGGCTGTTTGGATACTCAGTATTTATTCTTATTTAAAAATCACAGATGATACAAAAGCTATAAGTAAAACAGGTTAAAAAAAAAAAAAAATCTAGGTGCATGACTCACGCCTGTAATCCCAGCACTTTTGGAGGCCGAGGTGTGCGGATCATTTGAGGTCAGGAGTTCTAAACCAGCCTGGTCAATACGGTGAAAACCTGCCTCTACCAGGAGGCTGAGGCAGGAGAATCGCTTAAACTTGGGAGGTAGAGGTTGCAGTGAGACAAGATCGTGACACTGCACTCCAGCCTGGGTGACAGAGCAAGGCTCTGTCTCAAAAAACAAAACAAAATACAAAAATGAGCCGAGTGTGGTGGTAGACGCCTATAATCCCAGCTACTCGGGAGGCTGAGACAGGAGGCAGAGGTTGCAGTCAGCAGACATCGCGCCACTGCACTCCAGCCCAGCGAGAGAGCGAAACTCCATCTCAAAAAAACAAAAACAAAAAAACTTGATGGGCCCACTATTACAGAAGCTCAAGTTTGAGCTTTTTTAAAAACAAACACATAGAAGTGCAAAACACAAAAAAATAAAAAAAGAACTGATAAGATTATTCTCAAATCTCATTGACTTTTTCAGTCTTATTTTTGAAGACCTCATAAGACGATATCTTCAGGTGTAATACAAACAATTTTTAGTAACGAGTATGCTTAAAGCAATCCACTCAGTGGTGTATGCTACCCATCAGGCAGTTTAAAAAAACACCCACATAGCTTAATGTTTGATTTATTAAATATGACAGCGAATCACTTAGTTGTGTTATAAGTTTATTTTCATGGATTTAAATGACCACGTTTACATGTTTAAAATAATCACATCACTAGTTCTTGCTAGCTTTGGCTAGCATTTCCTGTAAACATTGCTTCTACAGATAAACTTAGAAAAAATAGAAATACACCACCTTCTTTATCAATAATGTAGCACACGATACATTACTAAACCTGGCATTTTTCTTGATATTCAATAACTTATGACAAGGAATGAACTCCTGGCATTAAGAATAAAGGGGAAAAAACAAGTCACCTAATCCCAAAACCAGGTAGAAAGCTGGGATGGAAAGTACGTGTATTAGTAAACGTTTCCGAAGCCAAAACAACTTTGATGCAAGTTAAATTTTCTACGTAAATTAAGAACCGAAGAGATACTGCTGTGATGACAAAACATAAGCAAATGGCCCAAAATGATGCAAGTCCTTTGGAGTAAATGTTAAGTAGTATTCACATAGAACTGCTTTCTGCAATCAGAAGGGGCTGGAATGGAAAACTCAATGCCAGAGAAAAGTTTAAAGTGTGACCCAAAAGGTCATGAAATTACACTTAACAGCACACGTCAAACCACCCCCACAATCGCCTCCAACTGGACGCTGCCCCATTCCTCCATCAGCAGAAGACATGAGGGATTAGCTAGGGGGAAACTGCGAAGCGCGAACTACTGAGGAGCCCAGAGCCCTCACCCGCACCTTCAGCAGGAATGGGCAAAAAGGAGTTGGAGGCGGCCCCAGGGCTAGAGAAAAATCAGGACGATAATACCATGCCCTTGTCCTTCCCACCCTTCTCCCCGCATGCTCAGCCCTGCAACCCCCGAAGAAAAGAGCAGTCAGAGGATCGCGGGGGCTAAGAAGCCGGCGGCCCGAGCGCCCTCTTTACCTGGTCGCAGAGGCGCGGCCAGGCAGGGAGGGTGCGTGAGCGTGTCGGCGACCTGGGCCGCCTGCGCCTTCCCGCCCAGCCGGAGCTGGAATTCCGAGGCTGCCTGTGGGAGCTGCTGCCTGCAAACCACTAGCTTCCACAGAGGCCGAGAGAAAAACAACAGGCAATTTATCTGGATAACACTCCCGCCGGCCGTCATTCATAATCCGGCGGACCGGAAAAGGGGAAGTAACGTCACTTCCTACTGTCGCACTGTCAAACGTTTCCCCCGGCCCTACTGTGGGAACCTTTGTTTTCCCGCTTTCGGAGCCCGCCGGTGCGGGGACCGTTTCCGAAAAGGCCACCGGGACCAGACGGATCGGCAGGGCGGGGCGGAACGGTGAGTGGTGCCGAGCGACTCTGCTCCCGGCAGCCTCCTGGAGACTCGAGACCCCCATCCCCACCCCCACCCCCGCGCTAGGGGCGAGGTGGGAAAGTAGCTACGTGGGGTATTAACTCGCTCCTCGAGGGGAAACATCGTAATTTGCGGGCGGTTGCGTGCCCTAGGCTAACTGCTCTCCTCTTTCAGTGAGGACTGGGCTTCCTCCGAGGGAGTTGCGGGCCGGGGCGTGCGGACTGAGGAGATTTCTAGGTCTAGGACTAGGGACTTGGAACCTTGCCTCGGACTTTATTAGAGGGTTTTTGTGACTTCTCTGTGTAGCTCCCTCTTTGTCTCTCATCTTTTGGCTCCCCTGTCAAGGTCGGGCCATCCCTCATTCTAGGCCTTCGGTGTGTCATGCTTTGATCAAAGGGTTGACATTCCTTTTCTGTCTACTGTCAGCTTTCAGCCACTTGATTGGTTTGGAATCGGAGCCTTTTCTCCTGCGATTCCAGGTGTCCCTAAGGTATCTGTTATCCAGAACCAAGAACTCAGTGGAGGCATGAAAACGGCAGCATCTTTAAAAGAATGTTTATTGGAAGGGGTTGCAAGAGCTTTCGAAGTCATGCAGGAAAAAGTTTTTTAGAGCCATTATGAAATGGAAATGGTAATACTGTGTGAATAGATTCAGTTTCCTTCATCTGGGACACATGCATATGATCAGCTTTGGACTTCTTTTGAGATTGGCAGGTAGGGTGAAAAACAGATCTAGGGGAAAGCGCATACTTACATTTATATATGAATGCCCAATTTAGGTTGGAGAGATCACAGAAGCCTCAAAAGGTGACATTTACCCAAACCTAGATCATTCATTCAATAAATATTTTTGAGTCCTTATTAAGTTTGAAGCCCTAGGGATATAACAGTGAACAAAACAAGTTCCTGCTCTCATGAAGTTTACAGTCCAGTGGGATTAATGAATTTAAGCAAGTCAGGTAAAAGATTATGAGAGTATTACAGTTAGGAGCATTGTCCTACAAGTCCCCAGTCATGAAAGAGATGATTGTCTTCCTTTGCTTTTGCTTTTTGATGTTTGCAGGTTTTTTGTGGGGGTAGGGGTGTGTTACTTTTGTGATTTTTGCTAAAGGGAACTTGGAAATGGTTACGGTTGTGTAGATGGAGACATAAGACCACTATATTTTGATCACTTAATTCCAGTAATTCTATAGCTATTATTTTTGTGGTACTTTGCAGACTGGCAAAGAGATAGGCAAAAAGATATATATATAGATTCTGCCCTTAAAATACTCAGAGTTTTATAGAGGACATAATATTTGTGCCAAAAAAAAAAAAATGCTTCAAGGTAGAAAGTTGCACTACCATGAAAAAGCACTATGAGATATCCTTGAAGGGAGAGACGTTGACAGGATTTGGAGTGGAGAGGGGCACAACAGCTGTCAGTGTAAAGTCTTCATGAGAAGTAGTATTTGAACAGGTCTTGATAGGATGTAGAAATATAAAAATAAGTAAAAAGCTTCCCAGACAACAAAAATAAGAGTGGGAAGGCCAGCTAGCTATTAGGCAGATCTGGGGATGATAAATGATCATTTTTGTGCCAATTACTGAATCTTCATAAATGCTAGGTGAAGAAATTTGGGCTTTATTTCAAAGGTGATAGAAAGCCCTAACTTCTTAGCATGAACTTTTTTTTTTTTTAATGAAAAAGAAGAAAACTGAGTTTCAGGAAAATTAGTATGGCAACAATGTTGAAGTCAAGGAAAATAACATGGTTATTGCCATAGTTCAAATAAGTTAATAAAAACTGAATTTTAGTAGTAGCTGTTCAAGTGAAAAGTAGAACAAGTGTGAAAAATTTTGCTGTCAAAATCCACAGGAGAGGCCTCCTGATTATTTCACTATAAGGAGTAGGGAAGGGCTCAGTGAAGGAAAGACTTGAGTCTCAGACCTTACTAACAGAAAGTTGTGTTATTCATTGAAAGTAAGAGCAGGACAAGGAACTTTTGGGGAAGATAATCAGAATCTCAATTTTAGTTATAACTGAATTTGAGATGCCATTAAGGAACCAGATAGACACATACACTAAGCATTTGGAAACATGGGATTTAAATTTAAAAGATTTGGCTCGTATTTGTAATCCCAGCACTTTGGGAAGCCACAACAGGAGGATTACTTGAGCCCAGGAGTTTTAGACCAGATAAGAACAACATAGTGAGACCCTGTCTCTACACAAACTTAAAAACAAAAAGATTAGCTGGGTGTCGGTATGGTGGTGCATGCCCGTAGTCCTAGCTGCTTGGGAGGCTGAGGCAGGAGGGTCACTTGAGCCCAGGATTTCGAGGCTGCAGTGAGCCATGATCTCAGTGCACTCCAACCTGGGTGACAGAGCAAGACCACATCTCAAAAAAAAAAAAAAAAAAAAAAAAAAAGAAGAGAGAGAGAGATATTATAGTTGAGGTGAAACATTAAATCGTCTGCCCAGAGATGATAGTTGAAAACCTGATGTGTATAAGATTACCAAGAAGAAACTGCTAGCAGAACTAAGAAGATAGCCAAGGACAACAACTTGGGCAATACCAAAAGCAACAAAAATCAGAAGATAAGCCAAAGAAAGAGTAGTGAGAGAGAGAAGAGGACAAACAGAAAAGTTGAATGTAACAGAACTCAAGGGAGGAGAAAGTTTTATGAAATTGGAAGTAGATAACAAGTATTTACTTGGCTGACATTTACTGTTATCTGCTGTTTTCCAGGAACTCTGCCACACAGGGGTTACAGCAGTAGGTAAAACCAATCTACTACCTGCCTACATGGAACTTAAATTCTATTGAGAAAGAAAGATTATTTATATAATTAACAGTGTGATATTACAAATAAGTACAGAATGTTTTTGGACTATATAATGGTAAAACTTCTAATTTTGTTGAGGGAATGTGCAGGAAAAACTGAAACTTCAGAGGTGACTTAAGATGGAGGTAGGGATGGCACTCTTTCTACTGAAGTGCTAAGGTAAGAAAGAGTATCTTGGAGGACTTGAAGTAAGTCAGATAGCTGTAACACAGAGTGGGAATGGCCTGAGATACTACGTAACATTTAATAAGTGTGATTTAATAAGTGTGATAACATTTAATAATATGTACCAGGTACTGTTGTAACTGCTTTATATGTGTTACCAGATCATATAGAGCAATGGCCCCCAAGCTTTTTGGCACCAGGGACCAGTATCATGGAAGACAATTTGTCCTTGGACCCTGGGAGTTTTGGGGAGGTGGGGTGGTGGAGGCATAGTTTCAGGGTGGTTCCGTGAATTACATTTATTGTGCACATTGTAATATATAATAAAATAATTAGACAACTCACCGTAATTTAGAATCAGTGGGAACCTTGAGCTTGCTTTCCTGCAACTAGACAGTTGATCTGGGGGTGATGGGGGAAACTGTGATGGATCATCAGGCATTAGATTCTCATAAGGAGCACACAACCTAGATCACTGACATGTACAGTTCACAAGAGGTTTCGTACTCCTATGAGAATCTAATTCTACCACTGGTCTCTCAAGAGACAGAGCTCAGGTGGCAATGCAAGTGATGAGGAGCGGCTGTAAATACAGACGAAGCTTCACTTGCTTGCCTGCTGCTCACTTACTGCTGCATGGCCTGGAGGTTAGGGACCCCTGATGTAGAGAATTAGAGACCTTGTTAAGAATCTTATTCTTTAACCTTTGGATTGTAAGAAGTGATAAAAGGATTTTAAGCAAGTGAGTGATATGGAAAGGTTTAGAGGATGACAAGAGTGATTGTGGGGAGACTGATTAAGCTATTGCAGTGGATCAGAAAATAGATGATGATAGGTTGGTCGAAGGTGATGGTAGTAAGGATTGAAAAGGGTGAATAGATTTGAGATATGTTTAAGAGGTTTGGTTATTGAATTGGGGGTGGGAATTAAGGAAGTGGGAAGAGTTAAAGCTGCTTCCAAGTTACTGGCTTGGGCATTAGGGAAAATATCATTTGAAAAAGGGATTACTAGAGGAAGAATTGGTTAGGAGAAAAGGGAAGAGTGTGTGAGTGGTTCTGTTGGAGACATGTTCAATAGGAGGCACCGATGAGATATCCATGTCAACCTGGCAGTTGGATCTTGGGACAGAGGCGTAGACTGCAGAGATATATTTGTAATCACTGGCAAAAGACTGACTATATGTATATCAAATTGTCTGGGGCAAGAACTCTCAAACTTTAGGTAGAATTGCCTGGAAGGTTTGATACAGATTTCTGGACCCTTCTCCCGGAGTTTTATCTTCAGTAGGCTTAGGAATGGAGACCAAGAGTTTGCATTTCTGAGTTCTGACGTGATCCCTATGCTGCTGACCCAGAGAACACATTTTTGGAAGAAGATATAGAACAAGTCAAGGAGAGAACCAGAACCTAGGATTGAGGATCTCATTTTGAATTGGATAGGAGGAACCTACAAAGATAACTGACAAAGAAGTAGGAGGGAAAATTAGATGTATTAGGTTTACCTGACTGAGTCTGCGAATGACTCGTGAGAGCATTTTTATGGAATAGTGGGAACAAAGTCCAAATTGCAAGAATTGCTGTGTAAATAGAAAAAATGAAGAAAAAGAGTACAGAAGCAGATGATTTCTGAGAAAGTTTTTTTATAAAAGAGAAAAGATAGAAGATGTTTGAATATATTTAAATGTCAATGAAAAGATGCCAGTAGAAAAGGCTGGAAAAAAAAAAGATATGGTAAATAATTCATAGGTCAAGATTTGAGAGATGACAGGAAGAGATAGGATCAAATCTAGGTGACATTGCATAGAGAGCCACCTTCTCCTTTTTTATTAGATGGGAAAGAGGAAAGGATGGGTGCATGTAAATTTGTAGGTGTACGGGAAGGAAATTTACCTACTTACTCTCTGACAGCTTCTCTTTTTTTGTGAAGTAGGTGAGGCCATCTATTGAAGCACAGAAGCAATTTTAAAAGAAAATGGAGAAAGTGTAACTGATCTTTGCAGAAAATACGGAAGTGGGTTGACCAGAGAATTGAGAGAATTGCCAAGTTGTATTGAATGCCAAGCTGAGATTGGTGATTCTGAAGATACAGGGTGTATATATATTCCTTTCAGGTGGACTTAGAGTTTGGGTGCAGGCAGAAAGAGAAAATGGCTAGCAGGGTGGATGTCTATAAAGTAGGTAAAACTGTAAGGCTTTCAGGTGCCTAGAGTACTGAAAGAGTTATCGAAAGGTTGGAAGACGGAATGAGCTGGATAAGAAGTAAAATGGCATCCTGCAATAAATCAAGGATAATAAGAGATAGAGAGAAAGATCATTGTTTAGTAATGGGGATTTCTGTGTGATATGCATTTGACACAGCTAATTCCTAGTATCACCTAAGAATTCGCTCCTATCAATAATACTACTTCCACTTCCCTAGGTCATTGAAAGTTTAAAGTGGTAAATATTAATTTTCTCACATTATTTTTTTAAAGCAACACCTACGTTTTAAAATGAAACCTGCATTTAATATAGTACATTTCTTTTGTGTATACATTTTTCTTTCATATATACACACACAGCACTTTGTGTTTTCTAGAACACTAATCCATAGTAAGAATGATGTGGCTCTTTTACAGTCTGTTTTGGCCATGGGTTTAGGAATATACAGGAAAGGAATTACATGGAAGTAACGTGATTTGGTGTAACTCCAGGAAAATATTTTTGTATGTATAGATCAACACAGTTACACCAACTTGCCAACCTCTTTATGACTGCTGTAGAAAGTAAACTTTCACTATATGGATATTTGCCAGTAAGGAAGGAAAACTAACAGAAATTAGAGAAGGCAACAAAAAAGGGGGAGTAAAAGTAAGATAGAAAACTAAAATATTAAATATAAAGCACGTAACAATGAGTGTTTTATTTTAGACCCAGCTAGTATTTTCTGTTTGGTGAGAAAACAAAAAGGCCAAGAGGGTGCCAATAAGGAGAAAGCAGAAGGGGCAAGAAATTGGAGGCTTCTGTAATAAAGAACAAGTAGAATGAGAATCAAGAAATAAATAACTAAATACAGAAGAAAGATTGATTTGGTACCTTGAAGGGATCCCCGGGTTAAGGCAGTGGAAGAGAAAGAGTAATGGAAGATTGTTGTCAAAAAGGAGAATTGATTATAATAAAAGAGAAGAATAGTTGTGGCAAGTTTCAGATTTCACTGGCTGAAGATAAAGCCCCTTGAGTTTCAAGATCAATTATATACATACACTAGTATCACTCTGTATGTGAATAGATTTTTTTAAAATAAGTAAGTAGAACTGGGTGTGGTGGCTCATGCCTGTAATCCCAGCACTTTGGGAGGCCAAGGTGGGTGGATCACAAGGTTAGAAATTTGAGACCAACCTGACCAACATGGTGAAACCCCGTCTATACTAAAAATACGAAAATTAGTCAGGCATGGTAGCACGCACCTGCAATCCCAGCTACTCAGGAGGCTGAGGCAGGAGAATCGCTTGAACCCGGGAGGCAGAGGCTGCAGTGAGACAAGATCCTGCCACTGCACTCCAGCCTTTGTGACATAGTGAGACTCCATCTCAAAAATAAATAAATAAATATAAATTAATTAAAAAATTAGTATTTTTCCCCTGCATTCCACTGTGGGGACCACTGGGCCAGAAGACCTTGTTAGTAATTTCGGGCAGGGATACAAAGTCTGTTAAGTTTTATAATGGCAAGATTACATAAAAAGAACTGACTCCAAGGTTCTAGCTGGAATGTTGGTGTTGATGACTTCCATAGTCTTGTAATCTAGGTGCTGACACTTATTATCTAATCTGTAATGCAAAGTTTTTACCTGTGGTTGTAGAAATGCATAGCAGTAAATACTTGGCTTTCATTTTTTCAGCATAGAAATTTCAAGTAATGGTTTTTCTAATATATTACAAGGATTCTTTTAGGTGTCAACCCTTAATCAGTACCCAATAAAATAAATTGTTTTATAACAATCTGGATAAGTAAATTGCTATTCCCGTTACCTAGATGAAATGAGATCAGTAGAAAGATTAGTAAACTGTCACAGGAGTGGAGTTTAAAGAAAAAAAAAATTAGGCTGTTACTCTTGTATATGCTGAAGGAATGGCACATTTACCCTTTTAATCATGGAAATTTTATTGAGGAGCTATTTTTTCCTCAAACAATACTCATAGTGACCAGCCCCATGAGTAAATTTTAAAATAACTTTTCTGTACCTGTTATGTAGAGGTGATATATGTAATGATATAATTTTAAGAAGTGACAGAGGCTGCTTTTCAATTTTGTTAAATTCTTAAAACAGTTTGAGATAAGGTTACTTTTTCATTATAGTACGGGCCTTTGGACTCCTTTTCTTGGGTGAGTCAGATGATATTTTAGAAAAGTACAGAATTCGACAATAATTTTGAAGTTATCAGGTAGATAACTAATACCTGCCTGGAAAGTTTTTTTTTAAAGCCTAGGGATGTGTATGTGTGCTTCTTGTCAGATGTGGAGAGGGATGAGGAGTGAGGTTGGAGGGGAGGGAACAAACAAAATCCATTTTCAGACTTGCTTTCATATGCCAGGATTCAACCTACAGCAAGTTTTAATGGTGTTATAAACCCCTGAAAATAGGAGATAACTGTGGAATTGCTGACGGTTCCCTAACTGTAGCAGTGCAAGTGTGTTGCATTATTATAATATTAACCTCAAGGATAGAAGATTTCAAGCTATAATATATTGATCAAAGGATTGAACATAAAGAATACGTTCTTATTCTGATAATTTCTTGCCTGGAGAGGTCTTTGAAACAGTGACAGCCAGAAGCAGAACTACATGATAGCATTGGTATTAACTAAAAACAAAACTTTTTAATGTGGAATTTCATAAGCCTTTGATGTATATGTTTATCCATCTTGGCTATTTTTAAGCTCCTTAGGACACAAAGCATAGGCACGCTGTGTGTATGTGTGTGTGTATGTGTGTGTGTGTCCATGTGTGTGTTTTAAGTAGATATGATATCACCCCTCAGAGACCTTACTTTTAAAAATAGGTTAATGCATGAGCTACCACAATCTAAACGTGATTAAATAAGGTTATCGTTAATATGTTTTTGAGACATTAGGAGTTGAAGTAAAAGTGGCAGCAGTGACCGTGATAGCTAATCACTTAACACACCTTTTCACCACTGCCCTCTTGTGATACCCTTTACACACACGCACAAACACGTTAACACTGTCTTCATTTGTGTTATGGAAATAAAGTTTGAGAGAAGAAATTTCAATACAGAGTAAGCTTGACCTAAACACATCAAGTTCTATGTACTGAAACTGTAAAGTGTATCTTTTAAAACAGCTAGTGGGGGTTCTGTGGCAGGGAGAAGCCTACGTGCATTTAAAACTTTACCATTGAGATAGATACACAGAAAACTGATAATGCTAGTTGTTTCAGGGGAAAGAAACTAGATGATGACTGTCAGGAATAAGAAGGAAGTTTACTTTTATCTGTAATAACTTTTTGGTAATTTTAAATTTTGTATCGTGCACATTATTATCTATTATAAATAAAAACCAAAAGTAAAACTTTGACATAGGTAATTGTGTATTGTCTTCTAAATTACTTCCTCTTTTTTTCCTTCAGGTGTTTGCAATGGCTGCTACTGTGAACTTGGAACTTGATCCCATTTTTTTGAAAGCACTAGGTTTCTTACATTCAAAGAGTAAAGATTCTGCTGAAAAGCTAAAAGCACTGCTTGATGAATCTTTGGCTCGGGGCATTGATTCCAGTTACCGTCCATCTCAAAAGGTACCTACATGAATAAAAAGCTTGGAGAGAGTTCTGTAAGGCATGTAGTAGTACACTGATAACATATAGGCCATCTCAAAACCATCTCAGCTGAAACAGTCTTTCTGTGTGGCACAAAGTAATTATATTCTTTATTTTTTCTTCTTTCCTTAAAGTTTTCAGAGAACTGTTACACCACATAGAAAAATTGGCTTCAATTTCCGATTCTTTATGATCAGAATTTTTTTTAAGTTGCTGAATGTAACCACAACTTACTTCTAATTATTCTCTAATGTTTTAAGGATTAAAAAAATAATAAAAGGACAGATTATCCAACTAAATAAATTGAATATGGGTAGGAAAATTTAAGAGAAAAGGAGGTATGGATGAACTTGGAGAACTATGTAGCCCTTATCTTGATAATAACAAAGTAGCCAATGGCAGCTTTATGTGAAGAGAATATACGTTTTGAAACCACACATACCTGTTTTAAATCCTACTTATGTCTTATAATTGTGTGATAATAGACAACATATCTTGATGTCCCAGGCACTTTTCTGAGTACTTTATGTGAAAAATTAATTTTAATTATAATGATTCTTTAAGATAGATACTTTTTTTTTCCATTTTATATAAGGAAACTGAGGTATATAGTAACTTCATTTCACCTAGTCTCTGTTTAGTGGTAAAATGGGGATAATAAGGACTACTTTGCAGAGTTGTAAAAATGGAAGGAGATACAGTAAGTCAGTCAGCCTGGTACATAATAGGCTGTCAGTGAATGACAACTCTTATTATATTTCCTAATACCTGCTAAGATACTGTTTCGAATTCTTCTAAGCTCTGGCCCTGAAACTCCAAATCACTCAGGTCTGTGGACCTAAATACCAAACCGAGAAAGAGAAGATAGAACAAGACTAGCTTGAGTTTAACCAGAATCTGAAGCTCAAGAGAGGATCAAGTCCCAGGCTCAGAGCCCAAGTAAACGCTGGTATTTTGTCCCCAGAAGATAGAACATGACTAGCTCAAGTCTAACCAGAATCTGAAGCTCAAGAGAGGATCAAGTCCCAGGCTCAGAGCCCAAGTAATCACTGTTATTTTGTCCCCAGCCACCTTTCAACACTAGGTCTATTACTCTGAAGCCTTTTTATTGTACTTTGAATAGCAGAAACATTGTGTCTTCATTTCTTCCATCCATTCTTATTCCAGTAGGTTCATGAGTTCAGACTGAGCAAATCAATACAGGCTGGTCTCAAACTCCTGGACTCAAGAAATCTGTCTACTTTGGCTTCCCAAAGTGCTGGGATTACAGGCATGAGCCACCACTCCTGGCCTACAATGTACTTTTAAGTTTAATCTGCATTATTAACATTTTCTTCAACACTTTACTAAGTCTACACCAGTGGTCAACAGGCTCTATAAAGAGCCAAATTTGTGGGTCAGATGGTCTCTGCTGCAACTATTTAATTCTGCAATGGTAATGTGAAAGCAGCCATACATTATACATAAATGAATGGTGTGGCTGTGTTCTAATATAACTGTTTATAAAAAACTATTTATAGGCCTCAGTTTACTAACCCATTGTCTAAGCAGTCAGCACAATAATATATCAAGCCCTGCCACCACTAGATCAGATTTTTCCTTTCCCTTCTTTTCCTTCTCAGAGGTAATTACTATTCTGAAATTGATGTGTATTATTTCTATTTATACTTTTGTACTTTTACCTATTATAACAGTAAAATGAAATGCATCAGCTGCTTTAGTTTTATTTAGAATAGCGGGGAGTGCCCCCCTTTTCAGGGAGGGGGTTTTCCAAGGAGCTGCCATATGCATAAACAAGTTTATGCATACTATTAATAACAATAAATAACAAGTTATCTATATCAGCAAAGCTATAATACATGAGGAAGGAATTGAAGTTTTAAACAGAATGAAAAGACTAGCCACACACTGAGAGAAACTATTTGCCAATCATAGATCTGATAAAGGCCTTGTACCCAAAATCTATGAAGAACTCTAAACCCAATAATGAAACAAACATTCATTTTTTTAATATGGGCAAAATGCTTTATCAAATAGTTTACCAAAGAAGATATATATATATGCCAAATGAACATTTGAAAAAATGCTCAACATCATTAGCCATTGGGGAAATGTAAATTAAATCTACAATGAGATACCACTACGTACCTATTAGAACATCTACAATTTTAAAAGACTAGCCATACCAAGTATTGGTGAGGTTAGGAAGGAACTGGAACCCTCAGATATGCTTGGTAGAATTGTAAAATGGTACTACCACAGTTTGGCAATTTTTAAGAAATTAAACATATTATTACTAAAGAAAAAAATGTTTTAGTGGGGTTCTAAAATGGAAGTTTATCTTATAAAGAATGTTCAGAATTTGTTGTGATTAAAAGTACTTACCATATAACCCACTCCTAGATATTTATTCTAGAGAAGTAAAAACATAGGTATGTACAAATACTTGTACATGAATATTCGTAACAGCTTTATTTCTAATAGTCCCAAACTGTAGACAACCCAAATATCCACCAACAGGTAAATTGATAAATAAATTGTGGTATATTCATTCAATGGAATATTATTCAGCAATAAGAAGGAATGAACTATTGATACACTTAGCAACATGGATGAAACTCATTCTAAGTAAAAGAAGCCAGACAAAAGAAGAGTACCTACTATATGATTCCGTTGATGTAAATTTCTAGGAAATGCAAACTAATTTATTGTTTCAGAAAACAAGTAAGTGATTGCTTGAGGATGGGAGACATATTTTCTCTAGGGTATATACCTGTAAGAGGGTAATAACAAAGGGCCACAAGGAAATTTGGAGGGGTGATACATATGTTCATTATGTTGATTGCAGTGATAGTGTCACAGAGGTATATATATGTCAAAACTTTGAAATTTTGCACTTTAAATAAGTGCAGTTTGGGCTGGGCGTGGTGGCTTACGTCTGTAATCCCAGTACTTTGGGAGGTTGAGCGGGTGTTTCATCTGAGGTCAGGAGTTCGAGACTAGCCTGGCCAACATAGTGAAGCCCTGTCTCTACTGAAAATACAAAAATTAGCGGGGTGTGGTGGCACACCTGTAGTCCCGAATACTTGGGAGGCTGAGGCAGGAGAATTGCTTGAACCCAAGACACAGAGGTTGCAGTGAGTCAAAACTGTGCCACTGCACTGTACTCCACTCTGTTGCCACTCCAGAGCAACAGAGACTCCATCTCAAAAAGAAAAGGTACAGTTTGTATATCAATTATTTCTCAATAAAGCTATTTAGCTATTTAAGAAAGGAATATTACATTGGTTATAATTAAATGTCTTAATTTTTAACTGAAATTTGTTTTGATTAATTTATTTTTTTATAATTAGTCTGAATATTTAATTACTGATATTTTTTTTTATCTTTTAGGATGTGGATCCACCCAAAATTTCAGGCACAAAAAACATTTCCGTTAAGCAAGAGCCCAAAATATCATCCAGTCTTCCTTCTGGCAATAATAATGGCAAAGCCCTCACAACTGAAAAGGTAAAGAAGGAAGCTGAAAAGAGACCTGTTGATAAAGTAAGATTTTGTTTTAATCTTGTTAAAAGAAAAAAAGTAAATTAGTTGTTCCATAGGCAGAAAGAGACAATGTTTCATGCCTGTTTCTTTTATATAATAATAGGTATAGATATATAATAATCATCACTCAGTGAATATATATTGATAGCTATAGATTTTGACTTTTCAAAAAATGAGTAAAATTTACAAATTTTAAAGTTAAATGGTTAAAAGTTATTATCAGTAAATATTTGAGCCCTAGGGAGTATAGTAATTTTGAGTGTAAACTTGACTCTGTGACTCAGAGATCCTAGATGGAACAGTTGTTGAAAAGAAAAGATGGTTACACTTCGGGAGGCTGAGGCAGGTAGATTGCTTGAGCTCAGGAGTTCAAGATCAGCCTGGGCAACATGGTGAAACCTCACCTCTACAAAAAATACAAAACTCAGCTGGGCATGGTGACACACACCTGTAGTCCCAGTTATTTGGGGGCCAGGCGGTTGAGAGAATTGCTTAACCCAGAAGGCAGAGATTGCAGTGAGTAGAGTTCATGCCACTGCACTCCAGCTTGGGTGACAGAGTGAGGTGCTGTCTCAAAAAAAAAAAAAAACTAAAGCAAGCAAGAAAAGATAGGAAAAAGTATACATGTAAATGACTAAACATAAATTTTATAGAATGGCATGCACCTAAACGGAGCCAAAGATAATTCTTGGATTGTCTATTTTTAGATGATTTCTACAAATAGTAATTAAGATTTTAGTAATTAGGAAAAAAATACATTTAAAACATATCTTCAGTAACCCTTGCCCTCAGGATAGACTGTATTATCCCGTATGTTTTCATACTTTTGCTAAATAGTGGCTATTCATAAACTATATTATCTTATTTCTCTGCTTTTAGATTTACATAAATGAGGCTGGGCACTGTGGCTTATGCCTATAATCCCAGCACTTTGGGAGACTGAGGCAGAGGATCACTTGAGATCAGAAGTTTGAGACCAGCCTGGCCAACAGGGCAAAACTCCATCACTACTAAAAATAAAAAAATTAGCCAGATGTGGTGGCGCACACCTGTAGTTCCAGCTACTTAGGAGGCTAAGACGTGAGAATCACTTGAACCCAGGATGCAGAGGTTGCAGTTAGCTGAGATTGCACCACTGTACTCCAGCCTGGGCGACAGAGCAAGACTCTGTCTCAAAAAAAAATATGTAAATGATATCATACAGTGTGTGTATATATCCTTAGGTGACATTTTCTCCACTCAACTATGTGCTTTTGAAATTTATCTATATTGATGCATGTAGATCTAGATTTCTTTTAGCTACTATATGATACTTATTCTATAAATTAACCAGTTTATCATTCCCCTACTGATGTGCAATTAGATATTTCTCCTTTTGTTCTATTACAATGGAGTTTGAATGAACTACATTATATATACGTCATGTTAATAGTTTCTATAGGAGGTGTACTTACAAGTGGATGTAATAGGATATGACATCTTCAGCATTACTGGGCATTGCCAAATTGCTATCAAAAGTAGACGTACTAAATTTACACTCTCATCAACAACATCTAAGAATTCCAAATTCCATATCTTACCAGGCTTCTTCATTTTTGCCAATCTAATGGACATGTTAGTAATATTTATACCTTAAAGAAGGGAATCTGAATTTGCTCTGAAGCAAATATGGTAATGTGTTAAGTCCGTACGGTAGAAGTAAATCCGTACTAGTAAGTCTGTACCGGTAAGGCTTTACCAGTATAAGTAAATCTATCAAACTTCCAGAATTCTTTAGTAGCAGAGTACAAAGCGAAATACGAATGTTTGTTAAACTGTTCTGATTTATTTATTTCTATCTTGCTGTTTTCATTTAATGTACTGATAAATTCGTTACAACTTTTCTACAGATCTTTAATGTGCACATTTGTCCCTAAATATGTAAATATATCTGTAAAATGAACTTGATCATTGCCTGCTTTCCTTCTTACTCATCTTTCAGTGACTTAAGTTTTATTCTACCACATTACTTTATTATTTTCTGATGCCTGCTTTTTATAGATGAAATCAGACATCACTGAAGGAGTTGATATTCCAAAGAAACCTAGATTGGAGAAACCAGAGACACAGTCCTCTCCCATTACTGTCCAAACTAGCAAGGATTTAGCTATGGCTGACCTTTCCAGTTTTGAGGAAACCAGTGCTGATGATTTTGCCATGGAAATGGGATTGGCCTGTGTTGTTTGTAGGTAAGTTGTGCCTTGCCACAGATTTTGTTATTTTGTAAAGAACAGACAACCCCTTTCCACTCCCCAGCCCCCCAAATCAGAACAATTGTTGCACATTTTCCATTTTGTTTTTATTATTTGGAACCGGGATGGAGATAAGTAGATGTCTTATGAACTGCCCATATAACACCTTAACATACTGAAAATTGTCAACAGTTTTGTCTTCCCAACTGTGACTTTTAAATCTGATGTTGTAGTAACATTTTCTGCATTTTTGTGTTCTAGAGGGAAAGCAATTATTATATTATGATATATATGTATATCTATGATCATCTAAGGCTATGGTGATTGCTTTTTGTATTGTTAGAATTTATACTTTTTTATACACATGGGGCTTCATTCTATTAATCTGATCAGACATTTATTGAGCACCCTGTGTGTACGCAGTAATGTGCTAAGCACTGTGGATTATTAGATCCAGTTCTCACCTTTAGGTAACTCATATTAATGAAGAACAACAATAACATATAGCTAACTAATGTAAGGGAATTTAATAGAGATACATACAACGTGTTATGAGACTGTTGGAGGACTAGTCAGAGTCGACTACCTTCTGAGAGGAAGACAAAAATTACGATGAGAAATGACAAGGAGAAAATAGCCAAATTTAATTAAGGCATACTGTATCTTATTAATTGCTGACAAAAAGCTTTAAAAGTTTATGCTTTCGTGCATGCTATGTGTTGGGTTTGTTATTTTGCTCTTTGGGTTTCTGGGATTTTTTTTTTCTTTTCCTTTTTAATATACCGAACCTTACCAGAACAACCCTGAAATAACTTTTTTTTTTTTTTGAGACAGAGTCTCACTCTGTCACCAAGGCTGGAATGCAGTGGCATGATCTTGGCTCACTGCAACCTCCATCTCCTGGGTTCAAGCGATTCTACTGCCTCAGCCTCCCAAGTCGTGAGGATTACGGCCATGCACCACCACGCCCAGCTAATTTTTATATTTTTAGTGGAGACAAGGTTTCACTGTATTGGCCAGGCCGGCCTTGAACACCTGACCTCAAATGATCTGCCGTGTCTGGCCTCTGGGATTGCAGCATGAGCCACCATGCCCAGCCCCTAAATAACTTTAAATTATTGCATTAAAAAAAGTAGTGTAATGTCTAATGGTATCTTTTCTTAGGCAAATGATGGTGGCATCTGGTAATCAATTAGTAGAATGTCAGGAGTGCCATAATCTCTACCACCGAGACTGCCATAAACCCCAGGTGACAGACAAGGAAGCAAATGACCCTCGCCTGGTGTGGTATTGTGCCCGATGCACCAGACAAATGAAAAGAATGGTAGGAATCATATTTTTCTTTATTTTAAACAGTCTGTCAATGTTTTTGATGGTATGGTCTTTCAAAACAAAGATTTGAATATTTAACTTACTGAAAAAAATAAATATTAGCTGATTATTTAAATGTTTGTATGTATAGTATTTATATTCTATTAATATTTCTATGCCTAAAGACCAGACAATGTTATGTGCATTTTTCTCTGTTTTTTTCTAATTCTAATATAGATAAACAAGATTGGTAACACACAAATTATGAATATTTCTTACTAGCCTATCAATGTATTCATTAACACTTAAAAATAGCATGCAGCATTGAGAAGTGGTGAAATTATTTGTTAAGGTCTGGTAAGGAAATACAGAAAATTCCTGAGTGAGCTTAAACCACCAAATGCCTAAGATGTGCACAGAGGCAATATTTATATGTATGTATTTGTCTTTCCAGCTGTATTTCTCTATAGCTTAGTCTTTCCTTTTCATTGTCCTCTAGTGACCATTTATCTCATTCTTTCAATTTACTTTCTCTTTTTATTGTTTACTAACATACCTGCCTTTAATAGCATAGTGAAATGTCTTTTCATTTGTTATATTGGATAGTTTTCTAACTTTTACTCACTTACAAAGTACATAAATGATACAAGAAATTGCTATAATGTCCTATTCACCACTTCTCCCTCCCACTTCCATCTCTGTCTTAAAATAGTGATTCTTAATTGACGAGTTCTCATGTCTGTCAATCAAATGAATTTCTACATAAATTTGTCTAACCAGTATATCTTTTAAAGGTCAGAAGTACTTAGTTAAAAGTAAAAATTCAAGATACCCATTTTACCTTTTTAATCAGTTAAATCAGAAATAGGAAGTGTTTTTATTTATTCCTATGAAATAAAAAGTAGTAAATGAAAACTGTGTATATCAATACTGTGTATATTTCTTGTAACAGGAAATTTCTGTGACAAGTTACAATCTCTTCCGCTCAGTTTGATTTTTATTTAATTTATTATTTAAATTAGCCCTCCAGGAGCTCAACTGAAATTACTACAGATGAGCAATACATTCCAGAGCATTGATAAGAAGCCACTAAGAATTGGAAATTGTCAAAAGAAACAAATCATGACAATAATGTCTTTCTTTAGTATGTCTTCAATGTTTCATTATTATTATTATTATATTACTTTAACTCCCTTACTAGCTAAAGTAAGCACTATTCTTTCCCATGTTTTTTCTCCTCCATTTTTTCTGATTTATTTTATGTCAGATCTATGTTTATGGTTCTAACCCTTTTTCCTGGGTGAGCTTCTATAGCTGACTAGTCTATAGATACTTTAAACTTAATATATTTAAAAGTAAAAGTTGTTCTTTATCCAATTTTTTTTCTGCAGTTGCCTGAATTAGAAAACATATTTGATGCCTCTCTTAATTCCATATCCCTTTGTTTACCAGATGTTTAATTCTACCTCTTATATGTCTCTGAAATCTATTCATTTCTCTTTTATTACTGTTTCACAAATCCATTACTTGTCTATTGCAATGGCCACTTAAGATATCTCCTTGCTTCCCATCAATCCACTTTGCCTACTATCATTAGAATTATTCTAAAATATTTATCTGTTTATATATGCCCAGTGGCTCTCAATTACTTATATAATGAGGTTATACTCATTAGGATGTATATGTGGACCTTCTCTTTTTGACCTGACTCTACCTTACAGCTTCCTGTCTCACTGCTTCACCATACACATTCATACACTCTGGCATAGACTAAGTGTGCCGTTCCCTGAATATGTGGAGAACTTTCATTTTCCTATATACTCTGCTTCTCAGCTTCTTCTCTTCATCTGGGATACTGTTAATTCTTTATCTGTTTTGCAAATTATCTAATTTATCAATAAGATCATGTAATTCATTGGCATAGCACGTAAGCAGAGCTTAAGACTGGATGCATTCTACATTCTGTTCTTATTTTAAGTTAAGTAAAATGAAGTAAATGGAATTTTTTTTTTTTTTTTTTTTTTTTTTTGAGACAGCGTCTCACTCTCTTGTCTAGGTTGGAGTGCAGTAGAGTGACCATGGCTCACCGCAGCCTCAACCTCCCTGGCTCAAGCAGTCCTCCCACCTCAGCCTCCCAAGTAGCTGAGACTAGAGGCCTGTGCCACCAAGCCTAGCTAATTTTTTAAATTTTTTGTAGAGATAGAGTCTTGCTGTGTTGCTAGGGCTGGTCTTGAACTCTTGACCTTAAGTAATCCTCCTGCCTCAGCCTCCTGAAGTGCTGGGATTACAGGCATGAGCCACCATGCCAGGCTAAATGTAGATTTGTACCAGAAATCAACAATAAATCTGGTGTCCAAAAGTCAAGTAGTAAATGGGGAGTCATGGCTAATATTAGAACATGATTGAAATACACCAAGAGCAGATGTGGGGAGATACCAAAAGACATAATCTGAAGTGAGCCTAAAGATCAGAATCCAGAAAATGTAAGGTTTAATGAGAGAATTTTGGAACAGTGGGGATTCTAAATCCATCATTCTAACTATAATTGCTTTAAGTGAGATTCTCACATGTACATTGGTTATTGTTCCAAGGTGACTCAAAGATATTATAAACAGCACCTGATACCCCTTTCTTCTTGCACAGATTTCTCAAACTGGGGCAAGTTTTGCAGTATGCATTATTGTAGGAAGACCTAGTTAAGAATGTCGTGTTTGTGTACGGCAGGGTCCAAGGTTATTCTTCAGTTCTGTAATTTTCTCTCTACCCAGTAGTGGGTTTTGCCCCAGCTTCAGGTGAGAGACTCAAAACACTTATTGCAGTGGTTCTCAATCTAAGGTAGTAACACACTCCTATTTTGCAGCATTTAGAAATATATGGGTATTTTTTTTTTTTATTGCTGCTGTTCTGGCAGTTAGTGCCTTAGTGGAGAATTTTATTACATTTTGCAATGTGTGAAGCAGTCACCCAATGAAAATTTTAGTGTCTTTGTTGAACAAAACTGAATATGTAATTATATTATAGTATTATCAGTAAAGGACAAAGGGTTGTGAGTATTTCTTGCTCAGTTTCTAAGATGGCTGGATAAAACAGGGAAGGCAGAAGAAAATTCAAACATGATCTCGCAACTAGAAGTCCTTCCTGGGGCTTCACCATAATTAGTCTTTGTCTGTTAAAGCATACAAGTTAGATGAGTCCTCAGAATCTAACCTCTGGAGTGATAGATGTGAGTGGAAGTCAGTGTTAAGATTGTTAAAACCATGGTTTTGAAGCCATATGTTCCTGTTTTACTCTGTGGGATGCATTCTCATAACATGGTTTTGCAATAGAGGGTAAGATAATCCTCCTTTCCTGCTAGTAGGAGATATTTTGCCACAGATAATCTTCCAACATTCTTAATATTCTTGATCTGATCATTACTTTATAAATTGTGTTGAAGATAGGTATAGTTTGATATGGAAGATATGTAGTATAAAAAGTGATATGAATTGAGATTCAAGGACCAAAACTATATAGTTGGGCAAACAGTAGCACAAGATTACACAAGAAGGCCCGAATAAGAACAAAATAGGCCAAAGTTTGGCTTCCAGAAATGGTGACAAATTTCCTGGTATAGTACTCTGTGGGCTTATGAAGATTATCAAAGACAATGGAATTTGGGGAAGCATCTTTCCCTGTTCAGTATGGATGGATTTTTCTGGATTCAGTTTGCTTATCCTTTGTAAATAATAATGATGAATAAACAGTAACTTTTTGTTAGCACTCAACATTTTCCAGACACTATGCTAGACTCTTACATAGTCATGATTTATTTTCATAACCCACCTTTGAACAGATGGTATTACCATTTTACTGAAGAAGAGAATGAGGCTTTTAGGGATTCACATATTTTGCCTGAGGTAACATACCTAGAAAAATAGTTGCTGGGTTTCGTTGTTGTTATTGTTGTTTTGAGATGGAGTTGCACTCTTGTTGCCCAGGCTGGAATACAGTGGCATGATCTCAGCTCACTGCAACCTCCACATCCTGGGTTCAAGCAATTCTCCTGCCTCAGCCTCCTGATAGCTGGGTTTACAGGTGTCTGCCATCACACCCGGCTAATTTTTGTATTTTTAGTAGAGTTGGGGCTTCACCATGTGGGCCAGGCTGGTCTTGAACTCCTGACCTCGAGTGAAACACCTGGCTCAGCCTCCCAAAGTGCTGGGATTACAGGCATGAGCCACTGCACCTGGCCAGTTGCTGGGTTTTAATCCCAGCTCTGTTTGACTCCAAAAATTACTCTTAAATATTGTACATAACTGTTTATAAACAGTTATAATTATCTACCTAGAAAACACTAAAATAAACTCAAAAATTATTAGAATTTATAGGAGAATTTAGTAAAGTGCCTAGTTATGAAATAAAGGGAAAAAAATGATTATTGATTGAAATAAAACTGAAAATGCTTATAAAAGAATAGTGGGTAAAAATTCTTTGATAATGTAGAAATTTGTATTTATGAACTTTCTCTAAAGATTTAGTGTGGCTAGTTCTGCGATGTGGAAAAACCTCAAAAAGTGTCATTATTTATCAATAGTTTTTTTTTCCTCCCTATTCTGTATTTAAAACCATATAAATGATCTGAGCTATGTTTTAATTTGCTCTCAGCAGCTGAGGGATTTATGCCTAGACCCCAAGAAGAAAACTCCTATGTATTTGACCAACCCCAATGAGAAATAAATGTACTTCATCATGAGTAAAGCAAATGGTTACATGTAGTTTGTGATTTTTCTTTTTTAAAACAATTTTATCTCATTAAAATGATATTTAACCCTATTCTGTATTATTTCTAAAGTTTAATATTATCTTTACTGTTTAGAAACTAATAGTCTATAAAACCATTAATATGATGATAAAAATAATTTGTCAATAAGCATATATATTCATTATCAAAATATTTTTTAATGTTCAACTGTATTTTGTTTCAGTGATGAGTCCTGTGTTAGATTATTATCTTTTTGTATATTCAGTTAAGATTTTATATCTGATTTAATCCACTGATTTTTGCAGGCTCAAAAAACTCAGAAACCACCACAGAAACCAGCCCCTACAGTTGTTTCTGTAACTCCAGCTGTCAAAGATCCATTGGTTAAGAAACCAGAAACTAAACTGAAACAAGAGACAACTTTTCTAGCATTTAAGAGAACAGAAGTCAAGGTATAGTAGATTCTATTTTTATTTAAGATTATGTCTTAAAATTTGGCTGACTAAACAATAGTTGCTTGATAAAAAATTTAATGAGAAACTTTACTGAATGAGTATATTTTAGAAATTAAGACTTCTATTAGAAAGGGAACATTTATATTATTATTTAATCTCTAACTCTGCTGTTTTTTTATTGCAAATAGGAACAGTCTATGGTGATTCCAAAACAACATTCTTTACCATTCTTATATGGTTAGGTACTTATCTCCAATCAGAAATCTGTTTTACATTCAGGCTGGGTGCCCTGGCTCATACCTGTAGTCTGAGTACTTTGGAAGGCCAAGGTGTGTGGATCACCTGACATCAGGAGTTCAAGACCAGCCTGGCCAACATGGTTGAACCCTGTCTCTACTAAAAATACAAAAACTATCCAGGTGTGGTAGCAGGCCTGTAATCCCAGGCATGATGGTGGGCACCTGTAATCAGCTACTTGGGAGGCGAAGGCAGGAGAATCACTTGACCCTGGAGGTGGAGGTTGCAGTGAGCCAAGATAACGCCATTGCACTGCAGCCTGGGCAACAAGAGCAAAACTCCAACCCTCTCCCCCGACCCAAAAAAAGAAATCTGGTTTAAATTTAAAATACCTCTGCCCCAAGTGGCAACAATTTTGCTCCCCACAGTACTTATACTACTTGAGCAGATTGGCCTTGTATTTTTTTTTTCTCCTTACTTATCGGCTATTGAAGGAGTTTTCTTGCTTTGTCTTGTTTTGTTTCTTTATAATGAACTTTCAACAGTATCTACCTCTTATACCAAGGGACCACATTGTGTAGCAAGAGTATTACCTTTCTCATTCCTAAGTTTGCATCCTTGAAATCATACTACGTTATTCTTAATATCTTGGCATTTTTATATCATGGAAAACAATAATTTTCTAATCTAATTTGTAACAAAAAATAATACTTTTACAGAGGTACACATTCCAGTGTTAAGCCTAGCACTAAATATGCAAAAAAAGAAAAAAATAGCCTCAGATTCTCAAAGATTGACCTGAGAAACCTCTAAAGTTATTGCCTAAGTGATTCTAAGTAGTAAGCTTAATACCCTTGGAGTGATGAAGAAGAATATGAAGTACTTTAAAAACACGTATTGACAATTGTATTTGGATATTATTTTTCATTTTAATTTGCCAGGGAAGATTTGCTATCCAATGGATATCCATTATTGATCTGTCACATAGGAACTTGGTGAATTGGAATAGAAGTAAGAATAAGCAGTTTATTGAAAGTAATTAGAGTTGCTATATTCTGCACATAATCTTTTTTTAGTAGATTTTTATACTAATCTGTTACTACTGGTTTATTTTTAGAAAATTCAACATGAAATCATTTTATGGCAAACGAATTAAAGCCTTTGCTGTCATATTTGTTTTAATTAAGAGATCTTGTGTTTTTTAATAAAGAATTCACTTTTTATAAAAGTGAATAAATTTATACTATAAAAAAATTGTCACAGTTACATATACAAAGCAAATGTCTTTTCTAACTTGCCCATCTAGCAAATGGGCAAGAAATGTTTATAGTTAAAAACTTGAGAAATTTGTTTTCTGCACTGAAATAGTTAGAAATTACTTGGTCTCTATCGTTTGTGTTATTTTGCTTTATGTGTCCTGATAGTATTGTAAACCATCTGTCATCATGTTGAAAAGCAATACTAAGAACAGCAAGCCATTAACATAAAATGCCAGACACATAGAACTTGTTTTCTTGCTTGTACTTCACAAGTGTTGGTCTTTTAATTACTAAAGATAGGTTTCTTTTGTGAAGTTTGTTGAAAGATCATTTAACCATATGGCAGACAGTTTTATGTTTAATAGTGAGAGAAGAAAAAAAATTAAGTATTTCATAACTGAAAAGTAAAAATCGACTTCTTGCCTTTTTCTCCCATTGCTGGTATACATTTCTCTAAAATGTATGGCTTATGTAGTTTTTCTCCTCTGGATAACTTCATAAGATAGTTAATATCATACTGTAGGAAAACATCAATTTTCAGAGTATGTGGACAAATATCTGGATTCCTTCTCTTATAAAACAAAGATCTCAGAACTCTCTGTTTTTGTTACTTTTCACATTGGCTAAAACTGTATGCATGCAGACAGTATTGAAGGCTATCTTTCAAGAGCTAAAAATGTTTTATCAGCTCTTTCAGAGTTAAAATTATAACTGGATATATTTTAGGTACAGTAACTACCATTTTAAAAGTAGGATGTTATTCTGTAAAATTGAACCTTTTACCTACGCATGAACTTAACACTTTTATGAATCTTCTTAAGAGTATAAAGGTAGAAAAGGTGTCAATAAGAAGGTCAATTCAAAATTAATATGAACTACGTACATTTGTGCCTAATATGAAAGTGAAAAAATCTATTCTTGTGTGAACAAGAGCAATATGTATTTATGTAGTGGCATTGGTATCACTGTAAGCTTCCGATTAGCCAGGGAAGTTAATCGGAGAAGTTGAGATGATACACCCTTATGAAATATATCAGAGAGTAAGTCAGTCCTACCCAAAATGTCACTGTGCAGCCTAATGAGGAAATTTATAAAATTCTTATTAAAGGAGCAGGAACCCCTTCTGTGGAATCATGGCAAAATTGTGAAACTAAAATCATGAGACCTTTTAATACATATGTTGCAGTCCTGTAGCTGTTGCTCAAAATTTAGGAGAACTTTTTTTAGTGGGTTTGGAATCTATACAGCTGTCTTCTTTCTCTCACTCAGTAAATAAACATTGACTGAATCTCTTCATCTTGGATATGTTCTCTTGAATATTCTGGATATGGGCATTTTTGTCCGTTATGAGTGAATTAAATTTTTGAAATGATCCCTAGTTATTTGGAGCAAAATCTAAAAGAATTAGATGTTTAACTAAGCTACCCTTATTGGGTAAAAAGTATGTTAAAGCACTAATTCTGGGTTTCAGCTGTAGCTTAAAACTGAATCTAAAAGCAATTCCCAAAAAGGAATTTCATATATTTTCTTTTGGAATCATTAGAACAAGAATATGGCATCAAAAAATTTCTACTTTGAAAATGATAATACCAACTAGATACAGATAAGTTTTGTTCTGTCTGTTTTTTCAGACCAGCTTCGTAAGAACTTACTTTGGTGGTGTGATTTAAATTTCCCAGTTCATCACTTAGATATAAAAAGTCTAACAACATCTATATTTTCAAGGGTGTTTATATAGGTATTGATTATACTTGGCTATAATGTAATATTTACCTTATTTTTTTAGACATCCACAGTTATTTCAGGAAATTCTTCTAGTGCCAGCGTTTCCTCATCAGTAACTAGTGGCTTAACTGGATGGGCAGCTTTTGCAGCCAAAACCTCCTCTGCTGGTCCCTCAACAGCAAAATTGAGTTCAACAACACAAAACAATACTGGGAAACCTGCTACCTCATCAGCTAACCAGAAACCTGTGGGTTTGACTGGTCTGGCAACATCATCCAAAGGTGGAATAGGTTCCAAAATAGGTTCCGGTAATAGCACTACACCCACTGTACCATTGAAACCACCTCCACCTCTAACCTTGGGTAAAACTGGCCTTAGTCGCTCAGTTAGTTGTGACAATGTCAGCAAAGTAGGTCTTCCTAGTCCAAGTAGTTTAGTTCCAGGAAGCAGCAGCCAACTAAGTGGAAATGGAAATACTGGAACATCAGGACCTAGTGGAAGTACTACTAGCAAAACTGCTTCAGAATCCAGCAGCTCTTCCTCAGCATCCCTTAAAGGTCCAACCTCACAAGAATCACAGCTCAATGCTATGAAGCGATTACAGATGGTCAAGAAGAAAGCCGCCCAAAAGAAACTCAAGAAGTAATGTGGCCAAGCAGGTTTTTATATTATATTAGCCTAAAGATGAAAGACTATTATTAGGATATAATCTGTAACATACTGTAATTTAATAAACATCTTCGTAATCAAATTTCTATCATTTCTTATTTTAAAATGCTAAATATTATATAACAAAATTTGGAAACTTTTAAATCACTCTTCAACATTTTTATTTTAATGATTTCCATAATGTGTGAAAACAATGATTAGAATGACTGTTTCTCACTGAAAACTTCTGAAGATTGATAGCATCTATGAATTTAAGGAAAAAGAAAGAGTTTGTCTTCTAGCAAAGCCCCAAGAGTTGATCCTGATGAATGAGGTGCCTTATGTGGTGGCAGAGATGACCCAGCATAGTTTTCTATTTTCCTCCCAATATTCTGGGTGTTCATTTCATAATTGATTTTCCATATCAATGGATTTTCCTGATTTACCATACTTCATTTTGTATCTTTACCTTTTTTATCACCTCATTTCAGTTATTTAAGGATGTATCTTTTTCCAATAGACTATGAACTCTCATACTGTTTAATGCAATATTTTTCTCATATTTTTTATTTTTTCCTACATTGCCAATGTAATATATGCACATAATACCTAATAAATAAGAATTTTGATTAATCCCAGTTATGCACATTCCTGATAATTTTTTGAAGAAAAATGCCATTTCCCAAGAGTCTTTGTGGATGAAAATGTGTGACTTGTTCACACACTGATGGCTTCTTCCTATACTATAAAAGAAAAGGCTGTCTTAGTGCTCAAAATGTTATGGCATTTTACCTAATTTTAGTTAACTTTGTATACAATAAGCTCCTATATAATGATTAATTCTTGAGATTTTGTACATTGGTAACCCATTTATGGCATAGGTTGCAATTTTTTTTGGTGAAAAATCAGACCTTGGCAATGATCTTGAGCAGTAGGGTATAATAATACCCACAAGCTAAGCATTGCAGTAATGGAACACTAGGCATAAATGGGTTAAGTCAGAAAATGTGGAGGGTCTGCATTGTCTTACTTGCAAGCTAACAAATTAACCAGCAATTGTTGTACATATATATTCTGAGAGAAGATAGGAAGCCCTCTGCATCAGAGAAACAATTTCTTATTTACAGCAAAAAAAAAAAAAAAAAAAAAACTGGACATCCAACAAATTCCCACATTCACAAGACTATGAACAGCCTGTTCATCAGCCTTGATGTGTGCCATTAAGTCGTCACTCTACAAATCTCTTAATTTCAAACCATCTTCCCTAGGTTTTTCTAACATCATTATTCTAAAGTGTATTGATGGATGATCTCTGTAAAGACAAAGCTTTTAAAATTAAGCTTGGTCTTTTTTTTTTTTAAGGAAAGATTATTATTTTAAACAACTCTGTTAAATAATGGTGCTAAATTATTTGTAATAAATTAGAATTCATTATCTCAATAGGCAGTAAATGTCTGTTTACCCCATGTGTAAATAATGAATTATCTCAATCCTACAGAGAATTTTGCTTTGAGAAACAGATTTCTTTTGATAATATATCAATTTAACATAAACCCCCATTTCCCTTTGGGGTCAAAGAAACCAAAAAATATTTATTCATAATTGTTTATAGTTCAGAGCCAGTTTGGATTAAACAAAATGACCTGACATAAAAACTCAACTCAGCAACTATAACAGTTAATATAACCTCCGTACCTACAAAAAATGAAAGCAGTAATGTTTATTACACTTCACACATTGACATTTGAAAACATTTATCCTGTCACAGAAAATACGTGCTAGATAGAGTCGAGAAGAGAAGCAATTATTTTAATTTCTATTATACCTCAGAGAGGACTTTAACTAGTTTAGGAGGTAATTTATCTTTCACTGAGCATGGCTCTTACTATAGATAATATGTGCATATATATACTTAGGATGTGTACCTATGTGTAAGTACCCATTAGTACAGTATTTAGCTTAGGTTGGTATTTTATAGAGGTATATTTGGTATTAGAGTTTAAATTGTCTCAAGGAGCTTTTAGACCTTGTTTTTTTCATATCATAAAGTGAGCTACAAGAATCTTCGAGCACTAATGAAAGTAGCCAGTTTTTTATAAATAGTATTTATTATTTTATGATTATTTTATTTAGTTTGCTATGCGCAGATGTTTTCTTCACTAGAATTTAAGTGGTATGAAGGGAGGGATCTTGTTTGTCTTGTACAGCATTATTTTCCCACTGTAGCTCTCAATACTTAATGGCTCAATGAATGAAAGTAAGCTTTTAGGATTGTACATTTCAATCCCATTAGTAGATATGTGGTCACTATCATTTTTCTGTTTTGTACATCATACCTTTTGTAAAACTAAACTGTAGATTTTAGTGACTTAAGGAAAAGAAATGGGAAAACACTAAAAGAAAAAGCCTTAAAATCAAAAGACCTGGTTTTAAATCCCAATTCTTCCATGTGACGGCCTCAGTTTCTTCCTTTATAAAACATAGATGATAATGAGATGTCCTTCAAGTCTACAGTGGATCTGAAGGAAGGACTGTTATTTGCTGTGAGATCAAGAAGAATGTAACAGAAATGTCCATTAATCCACATGCAAAACAGGATGTCCAGTGTTTACATGGGGAAGCTGCACAGTCACAAAGAGAAATTACACTAAAAGGCTTCAGAGAAGATAATTTTAAAGTTTTGGTGGCAACCAATGTAGCTGCTCATGGTTTGGACATTCCTGAAGTTGACTTAGTGATTCAAAGTTCTCCTCCTCAGGATGTTGAGTGCTATATCCGTTGCTCTGGATGCACAGGTAGAGCTGGATGGACAGAGATTTGTATGTGTTTTTATCAACAGAGAAAGAGGTCAACTAAGATACGTGGAACAAAAAGTAGGAATTACTTTTAAACATGTAGGTGTTTCTTCTACAGCGACTTTAGTTAAATCTAAAAGCTGGGATGCCATCAGGTTTCTGGCTTCTGTTTCTTATGCTGCTGTCGATTTTTCTGACCATCAGCTCAGATGCTTATAGAAGAGAAAGGGGCAGTGGAGGCATTGGCTGCAGCTTTAGCCCACATTTCTGGTGCATCAAGCTTTGAACCACAATCTTTGATCACCTCTGATAAGGAGTTTGTGACTATGACTCTGGAAAGCCTAGAGGAAATACAGAATGTCAGCTGTGCTTAGAAAGAACTTAACAGAAAGCTGAGTAGTAATGCAGTGTCTCTGATTACCAGAATGTGCCTTCTGAAAGGATATACAGGTGTTTGCTTTGATGTTGCTACAACTGAGTCAGAAAGGTTACAGGCAGAGTGGCATGATTCCAACTCGATACTCGCAGTGCCAGCCAAATTATTTGAAATTGAAGAATATTATGATGGAAACATCCAATTCCAGACAGAGGAGTGGCTGGTCAAGTGGCCACTTGGGCCAGTCAGGTGGTCAGGTGGTCGATCTGGTGGCCGGTCAGGTAGAGGCAACAAAAGAGTCACTCAGGAAGTTGACAAGATGGTAGAATATGAAGTGGGCATAGAAATCAATCAAGAAGTGGGGGCCACAAACAGAGTTTTGACTAAGTATTTGATAGTAATCTACCAGTGTGAGGTTGCCTATTTCTGCCTATCATGTACATTATCCACCAAAAATTAGGTTATCATAGTTGAGGTATGTGTCTGCTATTTGCAGAGAAGTTGGTCATATTCTCTTAAAAGGTATTTCACAAGAATGGTTGTAAACAAATCTACTTATCCAGTTATACCTTTGAATAAAAAAAACTCTTTATTGTCTCTTAAAAAAAAAGAAAAGAGTTCTGGCTGAGGAGGAAGTCTATTCAGATGGTTGGGGGGCCTCAGAATTTTATTTTTGGTTTACACACCTCGGTTTAAGTCCAAGCCCACCACTTACTAGCAATATGATATGGGTATTACTAGCAATATGATACAGCATACTTCACCTTTTTGGACCATGGTTTCTTCATAATGTTTTCAATATTAAAACAAGTTACTACATATAAAGCACTTAGAACAATATCTGGCATATAGTATGCATTCAGTAATATTACATGTTAATATCAAGCTATTCAGTTTTCTTTTGGTTCAAAACATAAAACATTAACAAAACATTATCAAAGACTTCTATTGGCAACATATTCCTATTTTGTATATTTAGTGTATACTCTGGTTTATATATAGGTACATAATTCATATTATCCACATGTGTATAGACTATGTAATATATATGGTTTGTATGTATGTATGTATATAAACGTGCATTTGCAAGAGCAATATGAAAAAAACATTTGAGGCAAAATACATCATATAGTTTTAAAAAAAGGAAATTGAAAAATCTTTGGATCCAACCTTTCTTGAGGATAAAAGAATATAATTACCCTTTCAAAAGATCTTCACTTTGAAGTAGTTGATAGTCCAAGTTTGGGCCATTTGCTTTGCTATTTCTGCTGGCTTAGTATTTCTTTCAACATGTGTTCTTTATAATACATTCATGCAATAAGAAATACAGAATTCCTGAAAACCCAGTACAGTATCAGCTTCTGTAGTTTGGAGGTTTCTTGCTTTCTGGTCCAAAGTTTTGTAATATCAGTTTTATGAGGTAGTCAGTTAACAGCTTGCCAGAAAATAAAAATCAGAGGCTTATTTTCTTAAGCATAAGTCATCTTTCCAAGGTAGTTAGCTGGCACGTATCCTTTCTGCCCCTGAGCTTCAGCTAACCACCACTCTTTATTGCCACTTAGGTCACAAAACCTAAGTATATGAACTCTCTGGTATTCCTGAAGGCTGAGTTCCTGGTCACTCCGTGCTTGAAAAGCATGAACTGCATAGAAAATCTAGACAAAGAAACAAATGACATTATTAGAATTGGAACATGAATATTAAAACAAACATCAAAAGGGTTTCCAAGCTTTTAGAACCGATGCTAAAGTTTTCTTGTTTTTCCAAAGTCACATTGTCCAATTCATTCTATTGGATGTATTTGGCTAAAATATGACCCAGGGGAGAATGGAGTGAAATAGATGTTCTTACTATTCTGTTAGGAGGACTCTAAATTGTCCATGCTTGAAAGCAACTTGGCAGCTTCTATTAAAAGATTTGTAATAATGTTAAAATATTTCTTGTGAATCAAAATAGCTTGAAGAATCTCTTCTACAGAAACATTGGCAGAAATTTTTGCATAACAGTGTTGCTTCAATACCCATACAAATGGTGAAAAGTGGGAGAGTAGTAGGAATAACACTAGAAGTTAGGCAAGAGGAAAATAATTAAATCCCAGACCTTCATACTAAGGAAATTTGTAATTATTAAAAACAGTGCTTTCTGAGACTAATAACATGGGAAACACTTATGATAAAATAGCCTTTAAAAGAACATAAAATTAAATGTACAAGTCTAATATTATTATTCTTTCTTTGGTACATTTTTCCTTTTTCATTTACAATGTATTTATAATTTTAAAAATTATTTTGTGGCCTAGAATAATAAAATACTTCAGTCAAAAGAATTTTTCTCTGACCTCAAAAGAACACTTCATAATCATTAAATGCATAAGAAGCTCCAAAATAAGAGTTTAGTTATTCCAATAAAATCATAAGATTGATAATTTAAAAAAACAGTTATGGCATAAAATAAGGCAATTGGCTAGCAACATTTATTCCCATTCATTTATTTAATGAAAAATTTGGAAGTACCTACTAAGTGCTAGGTATTATTTTATTGGAGAACTTATAAATCAGCTAAGAAAAGAAAATGCCAATGAACAAAACACACCTAAACAGCAAGAACTGTACACATAGATGATACATCAGCTAATGGTGAGCTAGATTTTGAAAGAAATTATCTTTCATAAATGACAAAGCTGACAAGGGATGAATATGTCATATTTGAAGATACAGAGACAAATACATGAAACAATATATAGGAAAAGACAAGCAGATTAACTCTCAAACTTGAAGTTCAATAGATAAAGGAAATCAAGAGAAATAAGGTGACTTCATTACTTCATTAAGCAGGAAAAGAGAGTGGACAGCGTGGAGAGGAGACTATAGCTGTAGCTGAAGTTGTTATTTAAATATTAAACTGTTATTTAACTTTCGGTGAAATGTTGATTCTATTGATTGGTATATTAATTTATCAACTAATATGAGCTGCTCCCCAAGGAAAGAACCACATTGCTGTGGTCTGGATGTTTGTTTTCCCCCAAAGTTTATGTACTGAAAGCCTAATCCACAAGGTAATGCTATAAAGGGGTTGGAGGGGGCGGCTTTGGGGAGGTGATTGGCCTTTAACTTCATGAATGGGATTAGTTTTTCTTTAAAGAAGCCCAAAAGAGACTCTTCACCCCTTCCACCATGTGAGGGCCCAACAAGAAGGTGCCATCTATGAACCAGAAAGTTGTCCCTCAGCAAACACTGTATAAACTGATGCCTTGATCTTGGATTTCCAGCCTCCACAACTGTGAGAAATAAATTTCTGTTGTTTATAAACCAACTAGTTTATGACATTTTGTTACAGCAGCCCAAATGGACTAAGACACATATTTAAACTTTTCTTCATTGACCACTTTATGGTACAAAGTAGGAATTCAAGTATTTATTAATTTGACCTAACATTTAGTAGGAACATTCAAGTATTTATTGAATGGTATGGATATCATACAAGAGATCATCTTGTATCATATAAGATACATACAAGAGATTGATGAACATGGTCAAATTATTACATAATTTTTTAAAGTAAAGAAGAAAATTAAAAGTACTATAAATTCTTTAGCAGTGGAGTGGTAGCAATAATAAACAGCTTTTATAGAGATCATGGCAGTTGTATGTTAAATGTGCTTTGTCCTCAACAACGCTGTGAGTTGTGTCTTAGAGAAGAAACATATTTTTAATTATGTTAATTGGTGCTGCTATGGCCAGTATTTTCTAACTCCAAATTTTGTGCTTTGTCCATTTCTCATAATTCTTTACAGACCAAATACTTGTTCTAGCAAGTGTGTACAGAGTGTGCATTCTTGCAGAGAGGGACTGGAGTCTCTAGTATATTGCAGATGCTGTTGTTTTGTTGTTTAAAAAGTGAAAACACTGAATAGATTCACAGGAGCAGAATGGAGGATTTGGTTTGCAAAAGTATTCAGGAATGTAATATACTATCATACATCTGAAACATAAGAGCCAGCATTCGTGGTTGGTAATCATCTTTTATAATTTTTATAAATAATGCAGCTATAGATTTTTTAGCAGGTTGGATTGCCTACTAATAGACCATTCCTAAATATTTGTGGTAATCTTTCACCTTATCAGAATTCCCTCAAGCAAAATATAAACTCTTCCATCTAGATCTGTTTGGTATGAAATTATAGTTTATATTCTAAACATTAAATATATATCCTCATGAAATTGTAAATTTAAAGTACAAAATTATATACTTTCAATACTTTAGATAATCATGACCCAAAATTTATTTGAGATAAGCACTTTTTAGTTTTTATATAATTTATGTTAACTGGAGGTGTACATTATATACTCAAAACAGAAGTAAGCTGCTTTTAAAGAGCCAGCAGTCTATTTTCAGTCTCTTTTTTAAGTCTCTTCTTTAGTATTTTTAGTCTCCTTAATGTTAGACTACAAGTTACGAATTTTTAACCTGTCATGCATTTAAGAGCTGAAAGATTTCTCATTATCTTCAGTGTTTTAATTGTTTTAGCCTGTATCTTTCTAACCTTAAATATTAACATGTTTTGGTCCAGGCACCTTAATTACAATGTTTTCTACCACGTTTACTATTTTTTTTATAACACTGTATTATTGACTCATACCTAATTATTACCCACTGCTTATAACCACCAGATCTTTCCCTGTGTTAACATTACCAGTTCAGTATTCCCTTATTCTATATGTGTATATTTAATTTTTCCTTCCTTAGTGAGCCACATTATCTCTCTTCACTGAATATCATTTTATTTTTATCCCAGTTCTCCAATTAACAGCAACAAAAGTCATAATATGTGTTAATCTTCCTTTCTAAAACTAAAAGGCTACAAAATCAGCATTTATGGTGTTATATCATATATATCTCTGGAAATGAAAATAGTTGTATTGCATTAAAAATGCTCATTATTCTCTCTCACCCTTCAAGAGCAAGCTTTCATGTTCTTCATTTACCAATTATATGTTTTAATTGCACAAGCCATTTTGATGTAGAAGAAATTTTGCCAAACAAATGAAACAAAAACCCACCCAACTGCTATTAGTATCTTCTTTACGTTCCTCCCATCTTCCTCTCTTGCTTTCTTCCTTCCATTTTTGTTTTTTACCTACCTACCTGAAGTGGTAATGGACTTATAGTATGCATAACTTTGCAACCTGTTTTTCACCTCATACTATTTTTGAAAATCTCTTCATGTTAATAAGCCAACTTTTTGAAGCACTTCTAGACAATGATACAGTAGATGTGTAGCATCATCATCATCATAGGTAGCTGGAAAACGTAAAGATGAAGGGCCAGACTATGAACATGGGATTGGTAGCAAAATGACTATTTTTTTAGAAGTCAAAAATTATATTTTTGATATTACTTATGTGGAAAAAGAAAATAGCACTGATTCTCAGACATTGAACTGCCCCCCAAAACTAGGTTTTGGCCATTATTAAACCTAGTCCTTTTTCAGAAGTGCCAAGGAAAAGATTCTGCTTGCCAGACAAGGCATCTTAGATACCCTGGAAGGCAGAATTCTAGGATGGACCCCAAGATTCCCACCCGCTGTTTACATGCTCTACATAATCTCCTCCCCTTGATTGTGACTGGAACTTCTTAATATGATGTGCTATTACTCCTGTGATTAGGCTATGCTACATAGCAAAGGTAAGGAGATTCTGCAGAGGTGCCTGTTAAAGTCACTAAGAAATTGACTCTGGGTTAGTCAAAAGAGGGATTATCCTAGATGGGCCTGACTTGCTCAGATGAGACCTTTAAAGAGGACTCAACCCTTCTCTGAAGAGAGATTCGAAGCCAGAAAAATGCTTACCTACTGACTTTAAAGAAGCAAACAGCCATGTTGTAAACTGCCTATAGTGAAAGCCGTATGGCAAGGATCTGAGAGCAGCCTCAGGTTGTTGAAAGTGGTCTCTGGCTAATTGTTAACAAGGAAAAGGAGTCCTTAGTCCAACTGGAACAAGAAACTTAATTCTGCCAATGACCATGAACTGGGAAGAGAACTCCCAGTTTCAGAAGCAATACAACCAGCAAACACCTAGATTCCAGCTACCTGAGATCTTAAGCAGGGCACCCAGCTAGGATGTGCTTGGACTTCTGACAACAGCCTCTGAAAAATATGTTTGTATTGTTTTAAGCCACCAAGTTTGTAGTAATTTGTTATGCAGCATGGAACACTAATGCAGAGCATGCCATTATCGTTTGATGGATGAAAGGAAAGAATGCATTAGAATGGGAAGGCATATTTACGTGAATGCTTTTTATTCTTTGATATAGCAAAAAACAGAGTGAAGAATTTAAAAATTAAGATCCTTGCTGTAAATCAGTACTGCCAGGTTGTGAATATCCATTAGCTCGTACCCATTATTCTACAAAGGCTCCAGATCATAATTTGGGGGACCTTTTTTACAACAATCTGTCTTCTTACTTGAGGTGGAAAATAGATAAGCAAGGTGAACCTCTACAGCAGTGATTTCCAACATTTTAGATAAAATTTTCTTTTAAAAGTCTGTTTAAAAAGATAAATTTATTTTATAGATGTGTACATATGCAAATAAGCACAATATTTCCAACATATTTGAGGAGATTCATGAAATCTCCCCAAAATGATTAATAGACCACTTCAGGTCTTGGCGTCCAGGTTAAAAATTCAGCTCTAGTATAAAATTCATGAAGCCACTAGAATCTAAATTAGTTTGAAATTGCCTACATATGAATGGTATTCAGGGCCCCTAAGATACCCCGAGTATGAGGTAGAGGCCACCTGTTCTTTTTGCCAGGGTCCACTAGAACCATCAGTAAAACCATACTACATCCTCTAACACCCAACACCCCTTGGCAACATGCTATAGGAATCTGGAGGAAATCCAAAAAAGTGCTGCCACAATAGGAAGGGAGAGGGAAATAAATGATAACTGAAAGTGGCGTCCAATTAAGCTAGTACAGGTTTTAGCCGATGTTTCTGATAATAAAATCGAGAACAAAAGTCTAAATAGCCACACGGAAAATTGCTTTGTAAAATACCACAGATGTGAGATATCACAATATTTACTGTATTCTCACTGTTGGTAAAGAAGATATAATACTCTTCCACTTTTGGTCACATTACAGGGATCTCTATAATGTATTGACTCATACTATTACACACAAATACAGAATTTAATCATTTTCTTCTCCCCATAATTTCTAAAAGCCAACAGAATAGAAACAGCCCTCTGGCAAGGATTAGGAACATGATATAATCCTTTCTCTCTGTTTTCAATGAAATATTATGCATTATGTGTTACAGGAGGAGTCTGGAAGCCACTGGCCTGTGTGTCTATTGGCTTGCATTAAGACATTAAGGAAAATATTTCTATGCAGGCTTTTTATCTTTTCTCCCTTGTACTGGAGTTTTCAACAGATATATCCTCTTCCTCATCTTGTAGTAAGTTTATTGGGACAAATTTTGTTCATGCATAGGGTTCACCTTCAATCTGAGTTGGGTAGTTTCTGTTCTAAGGGAAAGTACTTTAGGGATTCCATGTGCTACAGATCCAAGATGCATCTTCAATCCAGTTTTATTAGTAATAATACTTATATATACTTATATTTCTATTCCTGATTCTATGCCTATTTTGAATTGGTTCCAAACCCAGAGGAAAAATAAAGCAAATAACACTTCATGAAGACATGCCATTAATATATTTTTTGTTTTGAGCAAAAAATATTATCTCATTTTTTCCTCTTTTGGTAATGGAAATCTCTAATGGACCTAATTCACATGATATATATTGATAGGATTGCTTGGAGAAAATTGCTTTGAAGTACCAGCTAGTAGGAACTAAATGCAATCTCATGCTACAAAGACCAGGCAGAAAGAGCCCATGTGTGGGGCTTAGTCTGAAGTCCCTGTAGAGCCGAGTAAGAACTAGAACTCAACACCACGCCAGGTTTAGAGTGTCTTGACAAATTTGGCTTTCAGATTTCTGTTCATCTAGGTTATTGAGACAAGGCAAAGTCTGACAGGACATTTAATCAGGTACATAGATTTCACTGATATAAATTTATTAGTCAGCATTATAATATGACTTCTAGAAACTTAATAAACAACACAGTGAACAAGTAATAGAGAAATAGTGTTTTGAAACTTCAAGGCAGAAGGGCAATAAGAACACATAGTAATGTCCACACAAGAGTCAGTTTAGGAGAAAATGTTTGCAAATTAAAAATTTGATTAAAAAAAACTTGCACTCAAGTTTATAAATAACTCTCACAATGGGAAAATAAGAAGGAAAATGACCCAGATTTTTTAAAATAGGCAAATATTTGAATAGACATTCACGAAAGGTAATAAAAGAATGGCAAATGAGTGCATGAAAAATGTTCGGTACCATTAATCATTAGGGAAATGCAAATTAAAACCCGAAAGAGATACCACCTCATAGCCACTAAGATGGCTATAATTAAAAAGACAAATAATAACTAGTATTGACAAGGATGTGAAGAAACTGCAACCCACAACCCTCATACTTTGCTGATAGGAAACTAAAATGGTGCAGCCACTTTGGATAACAGTTTAGCTGTTTCTTAAAAAGTTAAAGATGAATTTATAAAACCAATAACAAATTACACTTCTGGGTGTCTACTCAAGAGAAATTAAATCCACGCAAACACTTGCATACAAGTATTCATAGCAGCATAATTCATACTAGCCCCAAACTAGAAGTTACCCAAATGCCCATCAACTGGTGGGTGCATTAACAAAATATATTCACAGAATGGAGTATTACTAGATAATAAAAAGCAACAAAATGCACACACATACTACAACATGGAAGACTCTCAAGAAATTTTGCTAAGTGAAAAAAACAGCTGTAAAACCCCACATAGTGTACAATTTTGCTTATACAAAAGATACAGAAAAGGCAAATCTATGGAGACAGAAAGTGGGGTTAAGGATGGGAAAGAGGAGTGACTACAAATGGGTGCAAAGGATTTTTTGGAGTGAAAGAAATGTTTTAAAATGGGATTAAAGTGATGGTTGCACAACTTTGTAAATCTACTAAAAGTTCATGAATTGTACATGGTTGAATTTTATGATATGAATGGTTGAATTTTATGATATGAAAATAAGGTCTTGCTTGATAAGCTGCTTTTGAAAAAACAAACAAAACCCCACCAAACCAAAAAAACCAGTCATGAATTGGACAGCAACCAATAACTATTAATGAAAGAAACTGAATAGATACCACATTTTTGAAGGGCAGTATGGCAATGTCTATAAAGGCTTTACATGTATACACCTTTGACCCTCTAATACTTTAGGAATTTGTTTTACACTTATATGCCCATATAAATGCACAAAAATAGATAAATAAAGCCCTTCCTTGAAATGCTGTTTGAAAATTTTTAAAAACCCAAAACATTCTACATATCTATTATTAGGTTGATAGTTATATAAATTATAATATATCCATGAAAGTAAATACTGTGCAGAACTTTTAAAGGAATAAGACAGCTACTTAGGTTTCATTGTGTCTAAGATATATTGTTAAATGGAAAATTATGTACCATATATGATATGTTTCCTACTGGTATAAATGTGTTTGTACATGCACAGAATATACAAAGGATATACCCAAGCATTGCCTCTGAAGAGTAGGACAAGGGGAGAAGGGACTAAAAACCTTTACTTTATTATTATTATTATTATTATTATTATTATTATTATTATTATTATAAGACAGGATCTCTCTCTCTCTGTTGCCCAGGCTGGAGTGGAGTGACATGATCACAGCTCACTGCAGCCTGCAGCCTCGACCTCCCAGGCTTGCATGATCCTCCCACCTCAGCCTCTCTAGTGGCTGGGACTACAGAAGTGGGCAACCACTCTTGGCTAATTTTTTGATTTTTAGTAGAGATGAAGTCTTGCTAATGTTTTCCAGGCTGGTCTCAAACTGAGTTCAAGCGATCCTCCCACCTCAGCCTCACAAAATGCTGGGATTACAGGCATGAGCCACCAAAACCAACTTACTTTTAATTTATGTATGCTTTTCTCCTATTTTAACTTCTCTCTATATCTATATCTATATCTATATCTATATATCTATATGGCTTCTATAAAAATGTATTTAAATAAATTATTAATACAACACTAAAGAAAAAGCAAGTTAAATAAATAAAGGTATTAATTAGATAGTCACCACTGGGGAATGAACAGTTAAATATACTGAAACTTTCTGATATAGCAAAAACAAATGCTGCTATAATTAACTTACCATTTTGCAAAAGATTGTACCAGTAGCCTTTGCATTAGTGCAATGAGGGAAATATAGCTCCTAAAACTTTCAGTATAGACCAGCTGACCAATATGGTAAAACCCCATCTCTACTGAAAATATGAAAATTAGCCAGGCATAGTGACATGCACCTGTAGTCCAGCTACTCGGGAGGCTGAGACAGGAGAATTGCTTGAACCCAGGAAGCAGAGGTTGCAGTGAGCCAAGACTGCACCACTATACTCCAGCCTGGGCGACTCTGTCTCAAAAAAAAAAAAAAGTTTCAGTATATAGTGTGTGGCATTATACATGAGATTAAAAAGGACCAATTACTAGATAGCTCAATGAAGATATTGCTCTTAGAGGAATCATGGACAATTTCCCACATGCTATTGATGGCAGCAATCTGTTCAGTATTGCATTACTTTTCTTTGATGGGGAAGTATAAAAAGACACTTTGCTCTAAGTATTTAACAGCAGGGTAGTAATAGTGACAGCTCCTATTTATTGTGTGTCTACTTTGTGCTGGCTATTTTACATACATATTATCTCTAATCCTTTGCTTCATTTAAGGAAACAGGCTCAGGGAATTACATTTTTTGCAAAAAGATCCACTGAAAGTATGTGCTAATAGAGCCAGGTCTTCTTGATGTCAAAGCTGACACTTTTCCACCAAGTGTTACAGTAATATAGAGTAGGGTAGAAAGTCTCTTTCATGATTTGAACAGCCACTTATTTTTACATGAACTTTCAAATTTTTACCTGTTCATCTACTTCTTGAAAACTGTCAACATCAGTACCATTTATTTCAAACTTTCCACATGTGCCACTAAGAGATGAGCTGCTATCACTAATGCTGCTTTCTGGGGTGCCTGTGGCACTGTCACTAGCTGGCCGTGAAGACACAAAGAGACTGATGTTTTCAAAATCATCATCACAGAACCTGTTCTCGGCATCCATTCTATGCATTTTTGCTGGATTGTAGGGTTTTAGGAAGGAGGAATAAACATATCCTTTCACATCTGGATAGGAAATAAAAAGAAAGAAGAACCAAGGTCATAGGTATACTATTCTCACACATGTGCTCAGAGAAACATAGTGATCTCTCAGAAAATCTCAGTTTAAAGAAGGGTGGTAATCTGGGGAAAAACTTACTTCCTGTGTCCACAAGCCACCTGCTTGTACTCCCCAGTGGATCTCTCTGTTCTATCACAGCCACCAACTCTCCTTCCAGAAGATTGATGTCATATTCTTGTGTAGCATTGCACTTGCGCTTAGCTTGATAGAGTTCTTCTGCACTGTATGTGGATAGAAGTTTGGAGCGATGAACGTCAGTTTGACGTGGCATTTCTGGCTGGGAGAAATAAGGAGAAGTTTGGGTTTAGATATATAATAAAATCCTCATGGAGTTGGTAAATACTTTTTCTCTGGAGATTTTTTAAATGTAGAAGTCATATATTTTTGGAGGATTATTTCAAGGTGCAGGCACAGAGCAGACTGTTAATTACTAGTGAAAAATTTCTCTAGTAAGCACTGGAGGGCAGTGTTGTAGAGAAGAAAGAACAAGAAGGCAGAGGTTCTAATCCCTCTTGGATGTTGCACAACCATTTTTAACTCTGTGATTCTGTAGACAACTCCTTGCATATTAAGCACTTGATAAATAATATTCAATTAAGTAAATTGTACATGTACATGTCTTTTTCTGTGAAATATTATCAGCAAATTAGACAAGAATCAAGAGGCTTATCCTCCTCCCCAGCTTGGCCCCTAAGAGACTTTGAGAAAGCCACTTATCTCTGGAGCCTAATATGCCTTATGTAGAAAAGGAAAGGGCTGGACTATATGATTTATCTCTGTAAAATCTTATTCAACAAATATTTATTGAGTGTCTCCTACATTGTGACAAGCACCATTTTAGGCACTTTAGGGATGCATCACGTACAAAGCAGAAAAAAAATCCATGATCTTATGGAGCTTATGGTATAGAGGATAGAAATGTACAAGAAATTCTACACATATGTAAATTACAGGATATTAGAATGAGGTAAGTGATATGGAAAATAATATGATACTATGACTTGGACGAGGCAAGGAAGTGAAAGTCATCATTTTCATGAATGCTGCCAAACTCACCAGAATCTGCACAGGCTTCTTCTTTTCAAAACTGAGTTTCCTCTCAATAAAGGTGGCACTGTTGTCTTTTACACAATTCAAATTTTGAACCTCTTCTAGTACTCGATTCTGAATCTCAGAAATGCTTGAAATCAACAGTGGCACCTAGAAGTAGAAATAATATGGCATTGTTTCCAGACAACTAGATAATCATATCAGGTGTTAAATTTATTGAGTTGTGATGAACAGTTGAGTAGGTATATGATAGTTCCATTGTGAAAAGTTAGGGCAACTTTAGAAATTCTAGATAAATATGGTCTACTTTACTGTCTCTAGAACACCGGCAAACATGATAAAAATAATTTTAAGTTTCAAGTCTAAGTAAAAGATCAGAAGAGAAAAAATAGCAATAAAGTCTTGGAAGAAAAGCTCAGGAGGACATGGTAGTAGGTACCTTCCTTGTGGTGGGTAGGATGGTAGCAAGGAGAAAGGAGCTAAAAGAGGGAGCACTGAATAAGAGGCTGTGCTGGTTTTAAAACAAATTCTTCAACATTGCTTCCTATAAAGAAATGGAGTTTACATCCTCACCCCTCAAAAACTGCATAAGCCTGGCATGGTGGCTCACACCTCTAATCACAGCCAAAAGGGAGGCTGAGGTCAGAGGATTGTTTGTGTCCAAGAGCTAGAGAACAGCCCAGCAATGTAGCAAGATCCTGTCTCTAAAAAAAAATTTAAATCGTAGCCAGGTATGGTAGTATATGCCTGTAGTTCAGCTAATCGGGAAGCTGAGGCCAGAAAATCACTTGAGTCCCGGAGTTCAAGATCAGCCTAGGCAACTGGTTGCTACTAAATTTTTTTTTTTTTTTTTTTTTTTTTTTTTTTTTTTTTTTTTTTTTTTTTTGAGACAGTATCTTACTCTGTCGCCAGGCTGGAATACAGTGACATGATCTCGGCTCACTGCAACCTCCAACCCCTGCTTCAAGCAATTCTCCTGACTCAGCATCCCGAGTAGCTGGGGTTACAGGCACACACCACCACACCCAGCTAATTTTTTTTTTTTATAAAGTAGAGACAGGATTTCACCATGTTGGGCAGGATGGTCTCCATCTCCTGACCTCGTGATCCACCTGCCTTGGCCTTCCAAAGTGCTAGAATTACAGGCTCACGCCACTGCACCTGGCTTGCTACTAAAAATTTTAAAAAAAATAGCCCAGTGATGTGATGTGTGCCTGTGATCCCAGCTACTCTGCGGGCTGAGGCAGGAGAACTGCTTGAACCAGGGAGACAGAAGTTGCAGTGAGCCGAGATCGTGCCACTGTTCTCCAGCCTAGTGACACAGTAAGACTCTGTCTCAAAAAAAAAAAAAAGAAAAAATTTAGTGGTGACCAGTTGCCTAGGCTGATCTTGAACTCCAGGGCTCAAGTGATTTTCTGGCCTCTGCTTCCTGATTAGCTGAACTACAGGCATTTACTACCATGCCTGGACCCAGGAAGTTGAGGCTGCAGTGAGCTCTATGATCACACCACAGCACTCCAGCCTGGGTGACAGAGTGAGACCCTGTCTCAAAACAAACAAACAACAACAAAAAAAGGAACCAAGAAAAAAATATACACAACAGCTTTCTTGATCTCTAGCTTCCAATGGATTCAATCAATCCATCAGTGAGGAGCACCTGTAGGAAATTAGAATGGGGAAAGAAAATGAGATAAGAAAATTCTAATTTTTCTTTCTACAGTATTGACAGAAACACAGCTCCTATCAAGTCACCCTCTTCACACACCTCTCTCTCCACACATTGCTATGACTGGTCCCTTCCCATATTTCTTTAAACCCAGATGTACCCGCAACCCATATTCCCGCCCAGGGTGTGGCACTATTTCTAAAGGCTTTCCTGTGCCATACTCTCATTTTTGTAAATAGTTTCTCTATTAAAATTTTTCTCCAAATGCCTCACTTGAGTACATTATGTTTTCCCTACTGGAATCATGACTAATACAAAAATCATATACTTTGCACCCTGAATATGAACTCAACCAAATTATGATATAACTAATTGTATTGAAGGGGGGGATAGAAAGAATATGTCTGACTATAGAAAATGTGAGGGTATAGAGAGAGGAGAGAGCTAAATCCTCATTTTTCATAGTGGAATGTATTATACCTAAAATGTAATAATAATGAAGTGACAACACGAGAGTATTATTTTAAAATATGAAGGTAAATACCAAGAGAATCATCTAAAAGAGTTGGAAAGTAGTTACTACTGAGGCAGGAGAAACCGAATGAAGGGAGAGAGTGAAGGACAATTGTTTTTCTTCATCAAACATGAATACTTGAGTATGTGCATGCATAACTGTAATAAAAATGAAATTTAAAAATAGATCTTTGAATTCTTCAAAAAATTAAAAATAGAATTACTGTATAATTCAGCAATCTCACTTGTGGGTATATATCTAAAATAATTGAGAGCAGAATCTTGGAGAGATATTTGTACAACTGTGGTCATTACAGCATTATTCACAATTGCCAGCAGATAAAAGTAACCCAAATGATCACTGACGGATGAGTAGATAAACAAAATGTATTGTTTCATTTTGTTTTGTTTTGGTTTTGGTTTTGGTTTTTGAGACAGAGTGATTCTCCCACCTCAGCCTCCTGAGTAGCTGGGATTATAGGCATGTGCCACTACACCTGGTTAGTTTTTGTATTTTTAGTAGAGACAGGGTTTCACCATGTTGGCCAGATTAGTCTTAAATTCTTGGCCTCAAGTGATCCCCCTGCCTCAGCCTCCCAAAGCACTGGCATTACAGGCATGAGCCACCACACCCAGCCCAAAATGTGGTTTTTATATACAATGAAATATTCAGATTTAAAAATGAAAGAAATCCCATTGCATGCTACAACATGAATGAATCTTGAGGACATTATGTTAAGTAAAATAAGGCAGTCACAGACACAAACACTGTATGATTCCATTTACATGAGTTATTTAAAGTAGTCAAATTTGTAGAAACAAAGTAGAATGATGGTTGCCAGGGACTTGGGGGAGGGAGCATGGGTATTTATTTAATGAATATAGTTTCAGTTTTGCAAGGTGAAAATGTTTTGGAGAGCTACTATGCAACAATGTAAGTATACTTAACACCACTGAACTGTACACTTAAAAATTCTTATGGTAAATTGTGTTATTTTTTATACAATTAAAAATTTTAAAATTATATACATTATTATTCTCATTTTAGTTCATATGAGAAAATTTAAACAGAAGGATACATTAATTTATCCAATGTAGTATAGCGATGAGCAGGTATTAAAACAAGGTACTCTAGTGTTCTCTAATCATTATTCACTTCTGCCTTTCAGAAATACTTGTAGTTATGCAAGATGTGTTACCATTGGGTAAGCTGTGTGAGGGTTGTACAGGATCTCTGTATTACTTCTTACAACTGCATATGGATCTATAAGTATCACAAAATAAAAAGTTTAAATATATATATTACATATAAAATATAGAATAAAATCATTTTAATGAGGATAACTTCTCCAAAATGCCTTTTACTTTAAGACACTGGTAAGTTTTCAAAAACAAAGCATCTCTATGCTCTTTTTCTGCTATGGACTGCAATGTGAATGATACTCAGATTATTTAAAATAGAAACTGAAGATGCCTTTAAAAATCGCATGATTCAAAGTGGGGATCAAAGATACCTAAAATAACATGTCTTTTCTGACTAGTGAATTCCTGCCAAACCTTGACTTTGTCCTGAACTTATGAACCCACCTCCTACCATGACCTCAGAATAATTTGCAAATTAAATTAGTTTCATTGAGAAAGTAGTAATAAGAAGTAATTTTTAAATAAATAATGTTGGGGCAACTGGAAAGTCCTGTGGAAAAAGATAAAATTAAATCCACATTTTACAACATAAATCAGGATAAAATCTACATGGATTGAAGATTTAAATAAAAAATATGAAACCCTAAACATACCAGAGGAAACACTGCTGAATTTATTTGGAGCCTCAAAATATGGAAGTCCTTTATAAGATTCAAAATCTAGAAGCCATAAAATGAAACTAATAAATTTGACTATATTTTTTTAAAAAACAAGCAGCATGAAAAAAAAATCACAAGTGAAGTCAAAGACAAAGGGGAGCTTGGAAAAAGTAGTCTCAGTTTATATCTCAACAAAAGGATCATCTCCCTAGCACATCCATTGCTGCTAGAAATTGAGGAGAAAAATATCAAGAACCCAAAGAAAAAGGAGCAAAAGACATGAACAACGAACTCACAGGAAGATAAATATAAATAGCCCTCAAATGTGAAGAGTCCCAATCTCACTAATACTTGAGCAAATGCAAATTAAAATTATATTTGAAACCTATTAGATTGGCAAAAATCCAGAGAAACCAGCTTTCTCAAGTGTTTCAAGTGAGAATCCAAAATGGTACAGAGTTAAGGAGGGAATTTGGCAATATCTAGCAAAATTACGTAAGTCTTTACCCTTTAACACAGAGATCCCACTTCTATCACTTCTATAAATCTGTCCTACAAATACATCTGCCCACATATCATGATCCCAGCATTATTTGTAATAGAAAAAGTTTGGAAATAGCTCAAATACTCATCAAAAGAAAAGACATGAACAATAGGGACAGGTTAATGCAAAAAATAATATATATTGTATCATTCCATTTATATGAAGTACAAAACAGGTCAAACAATCTATGGTAATACAGGTTAGAAAAATGGTTACCTTTCGGTGCCTGGGAATGGTCATGAGTGATCTTTATGGAAACTTAAAAGGGGTTGTATCTTGATCTGGGTGGTGGTTACACAGATGTATATGCAAAAACTGAGATGTGCAGCTCAGACTGGTGCAGTTTAATGTATATAAGTTATTACTTCAATTTAATAAGTTTTAAACAGAGTGCCGATCAGAGAAATACAAATAAAAACCACAGTGAGATACCACTTCACGCCCATTATTACAGCTATAATAATAATAGTAATAATAATAATAAAGATATGTGGAGAAATTGTAGCTCTCAGTCTATACTGCTGAGGGGGTAAAATAATGCAGCCACTTTGGAAAATAGTCTGGTAGTTTTTCAAAAGGTTAAACATGGAGTTAACATATGATCCAGAAATTCCACTCCTAGGTATATAGAGTACCCAAGAGAAATGAGAACATGTATCTACTAAAAACTTGAATATTTATAGAAGCATTATTTATAACAGCCAAAAGGTGGAAATAACCCAAATGCCCATCAACTGATAAATGAATAAGTAAAGTGTAGTGTAGCCATACAATGGAATATTATTTGACAATAAAAATAATGAAGTACTGAAACATGCTATGGCATGAATAAACCTTGAAACATTATGCTAAATAGAAGAAGCCAGTCACAAAGAATCATATACTGTATAATTTCATTTATACAAAATGTCCAGAATGAGCAAATCTGTAGAGGCAGAAAGTAAATTGATAGTTGCCTAAAGCTGGGGAGATTGGGGAAAAAAATGTGGATGGGTACAGAGTTTCTTTAGGGGGTTATGACAATGGTCTAAAAATTGATTGCAGCAATGGTTGCACAACTCTTGTGAATATTCTAAAAATCATCAAATTGTATACTTTAAATAGATGGAATATATGGCATGTAAATTATATCACAAGTAAGTTGTGATTTAAAAAATAAGGAACTAGTTATACATTATTATACAGCCATGCAGTAAGTTACTATAAAGCTGTAAAAAAGGAAGCTCTCTATGTACTATCATAGATGCATCCTCAGAATATATTGTTAAAAAGCAAGTTGCAGAATGGTATATATAATATGCTGTTTTGTTTTTTGCTTTTAGGAAATAAAAATATATATTTGCATTTATTGTTACTGGCATGAGAAAGCCCTAAATGGATAAAAATAAACTAATAAAAATGGGGATGGGAATGGGGGATGGAATGGTAGAAAACAGTTATGAGTGTGAAACTGATTATACATTACATAGTTTTGACTTTTGAACCTGTAAACAGCCCTTGTTTATTCAATTTAATTTAATTCAAAGGATAAGTTAAAAGTTAATTAATACGCAGTAGAAAATAAAGTAGGGACAATTAATTCTGCTCCAGGTGTTACCCATTGAGTAGCTAACCATCTCATTCAGGTGATAACTAGTGGACTTGAAATGTAAGGCCAAGAAACCAAGCTTATTTTTTAAAAGTTGATATGAGTTGTAAATATCTTTCTTCCTCATTAGGAATATAATTATAAAATTATATCCTAATGGGAGGCTAAGCTACACACACGCACACACACATGCACGTAAACATGCACGTGCGTGCACAGCCACACACACACAACCAGGCTTCTCTTTCTTGGAGAAAAATGAAATCAAAACAAAGCATGGTTTGAAAGTTATCCTGCATCTTTCATTATGCTTAGATGGCCTTTTTTTTTTAGAGCCACATCTTAAATAATCATAGTTAACATCTAAGAACTATTGATCAGGAAGAAATACAAAACATAAATTGTTGATAAGCTTCAATGTTGCATCAGACATGTGGAGCAAGACTGAAAGGTGTTTGGCCATTTGAAAAGGAATCTCCAAAAAAAGAACTACAAATGTGTAAGTCACAGTAAACCTGAACTAGGAAACCCTCTTTGAGCTCCCCGTGGAAAAGACAGATAAGGAGCGGGAGAGTATCTGACTGGTTTTAGGTAAAATAAATACACACACACACCACACTGCACACATATGCACACTCTCAACGGGGCTTTTGCATGGATGTGATTTCTAGCAGATCCGATAGGCCAAGGTAGCCGAGTGTTGGTGGTGCGCTTACCGGCACAAGTGTGGAGTAAGCCTGCTGTGCCGAGAGCATCAGGTCCCTAAGGAGGGTGATGAAGCTGCACAAACAGTTCGACAGAATCCTCCGAGCAGCCTGGTTGAATGCCTGGAGCTCTTCCACAAGCTGGGCATTGAGGGCCTCATACTCCTTTTTGGCTAAGTCTGACTCATCTCCTGCTGATCGCTGCAGGTAGCTGTTGTAGTCCAGCAGTTTGTCATAGCGTTTCTGGATGAGCTTGTGTGGCCCTGGGAATAAGGACAGCAGGGCTGACAAAGGGGTCAGGGTGAGTCTCTGTAAGTGAGATGCCTGTCAAAAGAAAAAATGAGCCCATTTCAGAGAGAGGATCAGCTCATACCTTGTGCATTGCTGTTTTCCACAGGCTTACCTTTTCCCCCACGAGAAGCACAAAAGAAAACAGGAATGCATCTAGCCACGTTAAAAGAGGATCTGATCATTTTTATGTCTATCTAAAGCTACTCAAAGACTCAAAACAGGGGTTCTAGATTGTAACATTGAACCTAAAAAGTGAGCAGGAAGAGGAATACAAAAGTTAAAGCCAGCTCATCCAAACTGTAACTCTACTTTTTTCTCTACAGTCTTTGGTTTTGCCATTATCTCCTTCAACAGTTTTTCATTCCACTTCTTTCTTATCCCAGAGCCAGCTCTTGGGGGTAGGGGGAATCTCTAGCTGTTGACTACCAAGACTGTGTAAAAGATTCACCAAATCACTCCCACCTTTTGCTAGCAGCAAAAGGAATATAGTCCATATCCTTAGTCCATAGGAGACTGTACCCTATTCTTCCCATATCAGCCCCAAATCCCTGACTATCCTGGAGACTTATTTTTGGTAGTGGAATTATACCATCTATAGAGCTAGTAACCCTTTAATAAAGGTATTTTAATAAATGACCACAGAGTTATAACTTATTTTATTTTTATTTATTTATTCAATTAATTTTGAGACAGGGTCTCACTCTGTCCATCACCCAGGCTAGAGTACAGTGACTCTTTCTCAGCTCACTGCAGCCTCCACTCAAGCCATCCTCCCACGTCAGCCTCCTGAATAGCTGAAACTACAGGAATGTGCCACCATGCTTGGCTAATTTTTAAAATATTTTGTAGAGGTATGGTCTGTCTATTGCCCAAGATGTTCTTGAATATCTGGGCTGAAACAATCCTGTCACCTTGACCTATAAGGTCTGTTTTAAATATGTTAAAGGATGAAGCTGATGCTGTTTCTGTGTCTTAAACTGTTTACACTTTTTGGTCTGAATCACTGAAAATGAACTTCATATAACCACCCAACTTCATGAGATAACCTGATCATCCTAGATTTAATTTCTTCTATTTCTCTTCTGTTTTATGTTTGCTGACTGCCCTATTTTACGCTTTATCATATATGGTTGGGTTACATGATTATTTTATAATTTGGAAGTAGGTTTCTCTTTTGTAACCGAAAAGATATCCTAGAGAATCAATGTCTGAGCAGCAGCTTGTATTAGTTAACTTAAATGGCCCCTGGTAACATTGTGTGAACTCATGGGAAATCTAGAAGAGAGGGAAACCAATCTCTTATTGGCACCAGAAATAGCCAACACAAATTAAATTTGATGTCTAGCTTACGAGATAATATACACCTACAGACTGTTTAATGAATCCCTTGATAGGCAAAGAATCTGTTTACCATATCTGGGATAAATTACTGTGTTTGTGACTTGACTAGATTCTACAGGTAATCTAATTACAGTATTACAATATAATTATATATATATATATACACACACACACACACACACACACACACACACACATATATATATATATATATCTCCAGTGACTTATAGACATAAAATGATTCACCTTTACATAGGAATTGTGGTTAGAACAAATAAGAATTAGATTTTAATATTTTGTCCTAACAAAATGTGTCGATATATATCACTCATGGTTAGATAAGAACAACCGCTCTGACTTTAGATATATTTTGAGTCCTTAATATTTGATTTTTAAAAAGAATTGTATGCATGTTATCCATAAAAATTACTTTCATATTGAGCTTTCTCACAATTAATTTAACTTAGCCTAATTAATCATTTTGTGGCTTTATGCAAGGTATGCAGGACACCTTCTCTCTTCTTGCTGTCAAAGTCTGGAGCAAGCTTGCTGAGGGAGAAGCTACATACCACGCTTTCAGTTGGTACTCAATAAATACATATTAACTTAATGTATTGGAATTAAGCTAAAGAGCAAACCTTTGAAGACTTCTAGAATGTGTGCTTTCTGTAATATAAATGTGGAAAATACATAAAGAACTAGCCACACCTTTTCCATTAAACATATATTGTAAAAACATGAATCTGTCTATCTCATCATCACTATCACTGTTTGTATCCATCCATCCATCCATCCATCCGTGATTGACCTGTTTCTCTATCATATTAGCTCAGATGTAAGCCTGACTTTCCATTCTGCCATGCCAGAGCAGCAAAATGCTTCTGCATAGTTTTTCTACTAGATTGGGAGCTGTATGACTTCCTAGGGTTTGGAAGTATCTGGGGCCCTTCACTGATTGTCACAATGTCTTGATGTGGGGGGATGTCACTGAGATTTTGAGCCTGGTGGGCCAAAAATATTAAACATCCTTCAACAAAAGGGCCACTCCATGAAGATTTGTCTTACCCCAAATGCCTATAATGCCAATGAAAATGCCACTTTTAAGATGATCAGTCTATTATATCTTCTATATAACTCTTGAAATACTACTATGAAATAATAATGCCTTTAGAAACATAAGGCACTAAATTAAAATTAATATTATCCAGAGTAGCTTACTACTAAAATGCGTTACTGGCTGAAGCATGTTTTTATGATACATAAGATATATTTTATGGAACTTTTAGAAAATAAATATTTTACCATGGAACAAAAGATATAACATACAGCTCTTAAATAAAAGTCTCTGTCAATAGGAAGGGTTTGCTTTCCAGTGTATAGTGTTTTAATAAGTGTCATATCCTTAGAGAGTACCTTTGCTCCTTCTTTAAGGACGCAGGGCATTTCCAGAGACTTGTTTAAGAAAACCATAGCTTGATTGAGCTCAGGAGTTGGAGACCAGCCTGGGCGACGTGGTGAAACCCTGCCTCTACAAAAAATGCAAAAAATCTTGTAGGTGTGGTGGTGTGCCCCTGTCATTCCAGCTATTTGAGAGTCTAGGAGAGAGGATTGCTTAAACCCAGGAGGCAGAGGTTGCAGTGAGCTGAGATTGTTCCACTGCATTCCAGGTTGGGCAACAGAGCCAGATCCTGTCCCAGAAAAAAAGAAAAAAGAAAAAAAAAAAAAAAGCATAGCTTTCTAACTTAATAAAGTCTTAATATTTCACATGCAGACTAGATTAAATATTGATTTTAAAAGCTACACTGACACTGGCTACATCTAGAAACACAGTCTGTGGTCATCTTAAATTTCCATTATAGTAAAATCCTCACTAATTCACTTTAAAAATATTTAATGATTGAAAAAATCCCCTGTTTAAATATACTAATTTTGACATTAGTATTTGCTTTAGTGCATGCTTTATTTCTGTCTCCAGAAAAATAAATGAAAAGCAGCTTTCCTTTCAACCTCACTATTTAATTTGCATTTATCTGTGAATATAAATAACTTACAAAGTCATGACATGGATTTAAGGCATTACTTAGGGTCCCAGAATAGCCCATTTCATCATCTTTGTTGTGTGAAATCTCCTGAAGGTCCATTACACTCTGCAGAGCCAAGGGCATGGCATCCTGAAACCCAAGAACAAAGTTACAAAAATGGCAGGTTCTGAGGTCAGTATAATTAATGTGGACTTCATCAGCATCACCCTTAATTATCACTGAGAGGTTTTTTTTTTTTTTTTTTAAAGGAACAACAAAAATTTTATAAATAGTCTGTACAATCAGGTTGCTTGGAAGAATGTATTGTTTTACATTTTCCTTATGTCACTTTCTCATAATACTTTGTATACAACCCTCTTTGATTAAACATCGTCCATTTAAAATTCCCTCATTAGCTATTCTTTAGCTTGCAATTCTTACATATTCCTTATTTTTAAAATCACTCCTCTCTGATTCATCAGTTTCCTTTAGAAAATTTAATGCTCTCTTTAAGAGAAGATGCTCACATTTTTTGTTGAATCCATTAGTGAAAATAAAAGACTTCCCTGTAGATGTTCCCAAGAGACATTTACTCCTTGAAAGATAAAGGACAGGGTTCCCACTACTCTGGCTGTTATAACTGTTTTTGGTTTTCTTTTCAAAGAAGGCAGCACTTTCGGAAGAAAAGAGCAAATCTGATTGTAAAATCAGGCTTTGTGTCAGATGATAAATAAGAACAGAATGGTACCTGTTCTTATGTAACTTGTCTCCAAATTATTGTGATATTTTTTCGAAGAGTGCAAATATCTGCTTCCAGAAACAGATATCCAAGAGAAAAACTTCTGGAATATAGAAGGGAACCATTTAGTAACTGATTTACATGTAACACTACTAACTTTCTAAGTCCCATGGTCATAGCCATTGTCAAAGTGGCATGAAGGACAGTTTCCTCTTTATGAGATCCATTAGAAGAAACCTCTGACTGGTTTTTCTACTGAGCAGAATTATACTGTACTCGAATTGGCTGGTTGAAGTCAGTGATTCTCAAAGAGTTAGGACAACCTCTTATGGGACTGGTAATTTCTGGGAGTATTTCTGTTTTCTAACATAATCTCGTGGGAGTATTTGCATATTATTGTTAATAGTTCAATTTATTTTTCTTTACATTGATTTTTGTATTTATTTTAGGTACTAGAAAGAGATGTGTTCGTACAATCAAACAAATTTTCTGTCTCATGCAATTCTGTGTTAATGAACTCATTTCTGTTATAAAGAAAGCATACTGATAGTCCATGAGGCAATCATCTGAACAAAAAAGTCCCACAATATGGCTATTTGGACTAGGGAGACGGTGGAGCAGGTAAGGGGTCAAACGGCAAAATGCCTCTTTATATTTGCTTCCTTTACCAGCAGTTTGCAGCTTTCCAATTTTGATCCAGTGTCACAAAATGAAGGAACAATCACACTTAGTCTTCAAAATAACCGTGGAAATCAGTGCTTTGTATCAGATGTTCCTGTAGAACATTGAAAACAGTTGTGTCTCACCTACCTGTATGTGTTGAAGACAGAGTGAAATGTTCTTCACACAATGCCTCACAGTCTTTTCTAAAGATCTAAATAGCTTTTCTTCTCTGTTAAAGGTATTGTCTTTAACCTAAAACATATGTGAAATTATTTTCATAACTCAAATGAAATGGATATTTTTTTAAAAAGCACATACAATATTGGTCCAGCACATGACAAAAGAAAATTCTTTGTTGATATGAAAACATTTGATGATACACTGTCTGTCTTAACACATACTTTTTCTGTTGATACATAGCACAACTGATCTTCAATTAGTGTAGCAAAGCCAAATCCTGTAGCTCAACTTGCTGTTAATTTTCACATAGCTTCACTCATGTCATAGTAGCTGTGGGATTATAAAACTTTCTCTGTAGTTTTTAATGGCATATGTTAGGTATATACTCAAATTGTATTACATTTTGGGGTTAATAAAATAGCTACATTTGATCTATTGCCTGGAACTTACTGTTTTGTTCACATGACTCATTCCAACTTATTTCACAGTGCTTTTTTGTAAAAATTCTTGGATTCATGGTTAAAGAAATGTGAAAATTCTTTATCAATTCAAATTTGAAGGATAATATATAATCTTAGCAAAAATAGTTCTGTTAAGATAACTCAGCAGAGTTAAAATAGTGGTCACATGTGTTCAGTTATTTTTTGTCATCTCACGTGTACATCCATTAGAATTTGGAAAAATATGCTTTTTATGCTGTGGCAATTTCTAGGAGCACACATTGATTACTGCTATTAATAGCAAGCAGTATTTCTTGGCAATCAAAATGGCTACAAAACAATATTGTAACCAGCCTGATGCTGGCAAAATCTGTGTGAACATGCAAATGCTTCATGGATTGGGTGTGTATTGTTAAGTTTGGCACTGGGTGACAACCATGGCTGTTCTTGGTTCATGTAATTTTAAATTTAAGGTGGTTGGCATTAGAACCAAATGGATCAAAAATTGTGACATTTCATTTTATTTTTAAACTTCTTAATATTGTTTGTCTAGAAAGCTTTTGATTAAATAGGCAGCAGAGTTCGTTGTAATCCCCACAAAATCCAACATCCTCTGCCTTAGGGTTGCTATGCTCCAACTCAGTCTAGTGTGTATAACAATGTATGGGCAGATTTTTTAAAATGCAGTTTCCAAGGAGCCATCACCAGATACTTTGTTTTATATATCTTAGCTGGGAACCAGATGATTCTAAAGTAGAAGGCTCAAGAATCACACTGTGAAAAATATTGCCCAATTCTACTTTCCTATAAGCAAGCCTTTTCCATGCTGTTTTCTTTTGGTGGAATATGCTGCTGTTCATTTCCTGCCTTGCAAAATCCTGTTTATTTTTAAGGACTAGTTCAGATGTCACCCATTCTGTAAATCCTCTGTCTTCTCCTATTCTTCCCACTGTAGAAAATTAAGTGCTCCCTCCTATGTGCTCTCATTATCCTGGTTAATGATTTAAGTGAGTCTCTCTGCTGATGGATTTTGGTTGTTTTAGATTAAGTATTGTTGTTTTAATGAAAATAATAGTGAACCTTTGTTAAATACTGACTATGTTCCAGACACTGCCAACACCTTTCTTCCATTTCCTCATTGTAATCCTTACACATATATAATGGAATTATGATTACTCCCATTTTAGAGATAAAGAAACAGAAGTTTTAGGAGATGTGGCAGAGATGGTTAACATTCCTCCTGCTGTCCCTTTACTGATAGAATCCACAGCTCTAGTTCAAGCTGGACACTTGGCTGTCCTGCTAGAGACTACTCTCAGAAACCCTTGCAGCTGGCTCTGCCCTGGTAACCGGGTTTGTGCATATAGGTTATGGATGAAGCCTTGTTTTTCATGTCTGAGTTTTGGCCTTATAACATTGAAAGAAGACAGGGCATGAATCCAGCTTCAACCAGACAGATGAAGACAATATGTTAAGAAAAATCACTGGGGGAACTGGTTTCCTGAAGGATCTTATGAAGCAGAGCTCATTTGGATTCACATCTCAGGACTCTTAAAAGAGAGAGAGAGGCCAGGAGCGGTGGCACATGCCTGTAGTCTGAGCTACTTGAGAGGCTAAGGTGAGAAGATCGCTAGAGCCCAGGAGTTTGAGGCTGCAGTGCGCTGTGATCTCGGCACTGCACTCTAGTCCAGCTTGGGCAGCAGAGCAAGACCCTGTCTCTAAAAAAAAAAAAAAAAAAAAAGAGTAAAAGAGAGAGAGAGAGAAATAAATAACTATCTGATTTAGGCTCTTATGCCTTTGGAATCTCTTTGTGACAGATATGTGGCCTTTACCCTAGTTAATATGTGGAGTTAAAGAAACTTACAGATGGTGTAATAGGATCAGGATTCAAGGCAAAGCAGCCTGAATTCAAAACCTACACCTGTTCATCTTTGTATTCCCAATCTCTAACATGGTGCTGGGTACAAGAGAGTTCAATATATGTATGATGAATTGAATAGAATCTTCCTAATAGCTTTATACCCTAACTCTACCAATATTTCACTTGAGCTTCTGACAAGTGCAAAATTGATTGATTTGAGATTTATCTCTTTTCCAGTCCAGCCTATGCAGCTGATTTTCTGATTAACAGTAACATGCTTCATTGCTGACAGGACATCCTCTCAAAAGATTAAGGGGAAAAATCTAATTAATATCCCTTCAGGCTATTTTAACTATAATTCACTTTTAGTTCACAATTGAAAAATATAAGAAGCTGATGATAAATATGTTAAAGAATATAACAACTTATTCAAAAGCCTGCCCAGAATTAGAGCCTGGCTATTTTTCCTTAATGGAATTGTCCTGAGTCAGAAGCAAAATCCCAAAGACTGGGGAAGAATTGTTTGCACTACATTTACACATGCCTATGAGGGCTTCTCAAATAAATTTCCAATTTGATTTTAATATGATTGTCTCTAGTTGAAATGTCTTCATTGCCCTTTCTCTGATCTGTGAGCATATCCCATAAATGTCCCAAACTTCTTACATTACAGTTCCACATTGAGAAGAGGATCCTCTTACATGCAGTGGACCCAGTTAGCCCCTAGAAGGATATAAAGAAGTAAATACAATAGTAATTCCTGCCTTGTGTTCTAAGAATATACATTTTGGTAAATTCAGTCACAAGAGGAAACAACAACAAGGCTTGGAAGGAGGAAGTTTATTATACTCACAGGTCCCAGAGAGAGGAGTCATCACATGCCACGCAGTGGCAGAACATAGGAGTAAAGAAAAAGTCTAGACCAAAACTTCTTTTGGGATTTCCTTGGAAAAGGCAAGGCAGGGGCAGAGTAAACAGTTTAGGATTGGCTATTTTAAATAACTCCAATGGGCTTTGGGATATAGGGGTAATCTCTAGTTGCTCGTACTGGGCTCTGGGATAATTTAGGGCAGGGAGATATTGGCTTGGTGTGTTAAGAGTTAAATAAGGATATGGTTAAAGCTATATGATCAAGATTGATTGGTTTGCATATGAAAGTTGTGTTCCAGCCATTTACCATCCCTAAGAATTGGCTACCCCTACAAGGACAGTCTCTGCTCAGCCAGAGAGGTATTTTAAAATATCAAAACATTATAAAATACAGAAAGTTAAAAAAAATATGATTAATACACCATGTATGAAGAACTTTACATTGGATAGAAAAAGTCTGCACATTCGAAGGTAAATAACTGTACAAGGTGATGATATAAAATAATAATGATGATATTTATGATAATAATGACAGCCAAAGTATATTGAGTGCTTACACACCATGTTACATGCTTTCTTTATATATGCATCTTCTCATTTAATCCTCACAACCATCCCATTTGTTAAGTACTAGGAGAATCCCAATTTACAGATGATTACATTAAATTTGTTATGTGCCCCGAAACAAATATTTACTAAGTGGCAGAGGTAGGGTTTAAACTCAGGTTTGGATAATGTCAAATATGTTTTTCTTAATTTCTTCTCTGTACTGACTCCTGCAAATATGAATAGTGTCCAGATTAAAATACAGAGTCTTAGCCCCTTCCAAAGGATGAAAGGGCTGCTTCTACCTAAAGTGGTAAGAAAGCTGCAAAGACTTAGTGGAAAAAAGAGAAAAGACCACAGCAGCTACCATAAGCCATCTGAAACCAACATGAACCACCATACAGATACCTCTTGTTTAAACCAAAAATCTTTGAGATATTAATATATGAGTGACAAAAACAGACAAATGAAAAGAAAAAAATAACTGCTGTATAGTGTACTAAGAGCTAGCCTCACTAACCTTCGTTAGAAGCCCACTGTATTACTATCTCAGGACCATGAACTTTGTATCTTGCTATTCTCAAAGAGTCACAAGTGTGTTCCATTGATAACTTACTTTAAGATCATTGGCTTCAAAGCACCTGGAGTGTTTGCAAAAATACAGACTTCTAGATTGCACCCTTGAGTCAGGTGGCACCCTAGAATCTGTCTTTCAGCAAGCTTTTCAGGTAATTCTTAATGCCCATTAAAGTTTAAGAGTTTTTGCTAACCCATCCATTATTTACTAGGGATTGGGATGAAAGTGGCTCAAGCTGGGCTAAACAGCTGACACAGGACTGTTGCTCACTAATATAATGTGCATCTGGGGAGTAAGGGAAGAGGAAGGGGATAAGGAGTAGGAAAAAAATTGCACTAAGTTATGCCTCTAAACACTTGGCTTTTATAGATGAAGTAATGATAAAAGGAATACCAAGGGAACCCTAAAGAAAAGTACGACTTTTAAGAACAGAAGTAAAACAGGATGGAAGAGGGCATTGCCTGGAGGGAGAATGTGTGTTGGTTGGTGGTGAATGTCAGGACTCCTAGGGCAACTTTATGTTCCATGTCATATGTCCATATCTCTTCTTTGTCTGTTTCTTGAGTAGAAACACCACAACTAAGACAGTGTCAATCCTATTCCCACTCCCATCCCTATTTTCCAGAAAGGGTGGGGGCAGGGAGAGAGAGGGAGAGAGAGAGAGAGAACAGCATAGGACAATTACCTTGATTCTCAGTATTCTAGAAATAGCCCTCACCAAAAAAAAAAAAAAAAAACTCATGAAAATACCAGCATTCATGTTCCCTGGGAAAAGGTGGGTGGTCCAAAAAGAAAAATTACCTGCGATTCTCCTCTGGTCAGAATCTTCAGATGATTTGTCACTCTTTTTGATTTCTTGCTAATTGAATGAATATTTAGTTTAGACAATTTGTCTTTAAGTGATTCATCCTCATCATTCTTCTTGTATTTTAGAACTGAAAAGGGAGAGTGTAATAACATAGCTGAACATACGCAGCATAGCAAGTGTGCACTTCACCCAAAGCTTTCAAGATTAGTATTTATATTCAAGATAAAGATGTATATGATTTTCGAGCCTCTGCTGCAGAGGTCATATGCTCCAGCCCCATTGCCCAGCCATGTCCCAGTCAGGTACCCACCGCACTGACCTCCAGAAACAAGGACAAAAGCCCCTCAAGGCTCAAGTTTTATTTATCTACAATATTAAAGAAATCCCTGATACTAGAAAAAATTTCTACCTCTCATCTCAGATAATACATTTATTATCTGGGGCCTCTGGAATGGGAGAATCAAGATCTAACTAATGAAAAGACAACTCAGTAGGGCACAGTGGCTCACACATGTAATGCCAGCACTTTGGGAGGACGAGACCAACGGGTCACCTGAGGTCAGGAGTTTGAGACCAGCCTGGCCAATATGGTGAAACCCCATCTCTACTAAAAAGACAAAAATTAGCCTGACGTGGTGGTGTGTGCCTGTAGTCCCAGGTACTCGGGAGGCTGAGGCAGGAGAATTGCTTGAACTCGGGAGATGGAGGTTGCAGTGAGCCAAGATCATGCCACTGCACTCCAGCCTGGGCAACAGAGCAAGACTCTGTCTCAAAAAAAAAAAAAAAAAAAAAAAAAAGCAAGACAACTGTACCCAATGTAAGGAGACCTCAGATCCTAGAATGGCTCTTCACTGGCTGAGAGATTTGGGGCAAGCTGAATAACCTCTCTTTGAGTTTCATGTATTTATCTTTGCAATCATTTTCACCTTTCGTATTGTTGAAAACGTTAAATATCTCTAACATTTAGTGTTGGTAAAGATGTAGGGAGATGGGCAATCTTACAGAATCCTGCTGACGAGGATTAAACCAATACATTTTTGTAGAAAACAATTTGTCAGAAACTAACAAAAAGGAAAATATTCATAGTCTATTACCAGGAAGTTCATGCAGAGAAATCTGCTTTCCATAATCAAATATACAAAGTTTCATTGGCTACAACATTTTTTCTAACAGCAAGGTATTAGGAACATCTAAATGTTTATCCTTAGAGAACTAGCTTAATAAATTATGATATACTCATAAATCAAATGCTGTGGAAAGATTAAAAGGAAGATAATATTAATTGGAAGAATGTTTATGATATATAATTTTTTCAAAAGCAAAATGTAGTACCGTGTATGTTGCAAGAAGGATGGAAAGAAGGAAAAGGGAGAGAGGGAGAAGAAGAGAAAGAGAAAGAGAGAAGTAAAGAGAAAAGAAGACATAGAATGTTTGAAGAAAACAATAAAATGTTAGTTGTGCAAACTGGAATCGTGGTGGGAAGGGAAGAATATTTTACTCTTCAAAACTTTGAAGATAGTTTAAACTTTAAACTTTGAAATAGTTTAAGCAAACAGAAAAATATAAAGAATAATATAACAGCCATTATCCAAATCTTTTCAAGTCTTACATTTTGCTTTGTTCCCAGTCTTTAAAAAATAAAACTTCACCAAACAGTTGAGACACCCCTGATCTCCATGTCTAATCCCTAAAAGGAATTGTTATCCTAAATAATGGGGCTTATTATACCTGTATCCATTTTAATGCCTTTATTGTGGATGTTTGGAATAATACAATATATTTTGAATATTTTAAAACTTTATAAAGTAATATCACCTTGCACATATTTTTCTACCACTTGCAAAGTTGCTTAAAAAAAACTCTCCAGATTGTGTTTTTGAGATTAACCCATTGATACATATATTTTTATTTAGTTAATTTTTATCTTCTTGTGGTATTACAGTGTATATGCAGTTTATCCACTATCTGGATTAATGTGTCTTTTTTATTTGCATTTGTGAACAATGCTAGTTACCAGTATATCTCTCTTTGAGCACATGGGCAAGAGTTTCTCTAGAGCAAATACCTAGAAATTCATTTTTTGAGTTCCTGGTCTGTGCATCTTCAACTTTACTAGATATTGTCAAATTGTTCTCTAAACTATTGATTCCAATGTACATTCTCATGTGTAGATTGAGACTGAACATTTAGCATTATTCATTACTACCCCCCCGCCACCCAGTTTCTTCGACTGGAAATGGTATGTCAGATTACATTTCCTTGAGTATAAATGGAGCTTAGAATTTTGAAACTGCAAATTACTTCTTTTTATTATTAAGCTTTTTGTATAAAATGTTTTTCTGTTGATTTAATGTCAATAATTATATAGTCTAGACAGTAATCCTTTGTAGACTATCTCTTCATTTTGTTCAGGGAGTATTTTTACTCCATAACATTTACTTTTTACTCTATACCTTTCTTTTTAATTTACTAATATAAATATATGACTTTTAAAATAAATATCAGAAAATAAAACAAAGACCAATAAAGTGATTGGACCAGTTAGCTCAAAAGTCCTGCTATGTCTTTAATGTCAAACTGAGATTTAATATTAGGAGTACAATGCCAACTAAGAACTTATATGAACATACATCACACTGAGGGAGACCCATAGCCTAGCTCAATGCATTACTACCTCTGGAATGTATAGGAACCATGTAATTATCCCTGGGATTATAGGAACAATTATCTAGGAGGTATAGGAACCATGTAATTATCCCTTCTGTTTTGAAATTTTACATTAAACATCAATTTTATATTTTAGCTTACAAATAGTTAACAATAATTTGTTAATTCTAGAAAGAAGTATACTTGCTCACATGAGTAGAGAAATTATTGCCCCCAAAACTCCATTTTCTGTGTGCCAGAATCAGATGAATTCAACATACTAGATGGCCCCCCAATCTGGATCTGCCCCTTTCCCAGATGCTTTCTGCATTTACTTCCCAGTGATGTTGCAACTCAACTGGCTGTCTCTCCTTCTTACCACACGTATCTCCAGTGACAGGAGGACTATATCCAATGGGTATCTTCAGCCCATAATATGTCACCAGGAGTGCAGTGGTACAATGAGATTGAGTATATGGCTGTTTGATTTATTTTTTAATGTCATTTTTTGTGCCTCTTACTCTTCTCCTTCTTCTCCCCAGCTTCTAATTCTAGATTTCAAATGATCAGTTCGCTGCAGCTATTATAACTACTTAAATGTTCTGATTCTCAGAAACATAAAGCAAACACTCCAATAATGGAAAATAAACAATTCATCATATGTCTTCCTACCTAAATCTTTCCTTCTCTTAAGTTCATTGATGTTAACATTAATGTCCTTCACAGCAGCAAAGGCATCATCCAGTGCTCTGTAATCTGGGTGAGAGGGAGGGGTGGAATTCCGAAGTTCGCACAGTAATAAAGGATATTTCATCACACGTTGAATTGGTTTGATCATCAAAGAGCCCATGTCCAGTAAGTTTGGTTTGCCTCTACAATAAAGTTAAATAATATCAGTTTCACAAACATATGCTTTATTAACTCCTTTTCATTTTTGTGTGTTTTTATGATTACTTACAAAACTTTTCTCTTTTTTTTCCATTTGTATATCTGAAATTTCTAAAAGAAAAAAAAAAGAAAGCACAAAAGATGACAGAAAGAAGTAAGGCTGAAAGACCCTACTATGAAACAAAAACCTAAAAGAAACAAGTATATCTTTCCACCAAATGGGTTCAACAGCTGGATGTTTTATACTTTAATGATTTTTTTTTAATGTACTACTATGGATAAATGACTGACCATAAAATTAGAATAGTAAAACAGGTATAAAAATGTTAAACAAAATTAGAAAAGCTGTATCATTAGAAAGGGTCTGGGGCCAAGCACAGTGGCTGGGGCCTGTAATCCCAGCCCTTTGGGAGGCCAAGGTGGGCAGATTACTTGAGCCCAGTAGTTCAAGACCAGCCTAGGCAACATGTCAAAACTCTATCTCTAGAAAAAAATTAAAAAGTTAGCCAGGCATGGTGGCACACATCTGTAGTCTCAGCTACTCAGAAGGCTGAGGTGGGCAGATTGCTTAAGCCTGGGAGGTCGAGGCTGCAGTGAGTTCCTGCACTCCAGCCTTGGCAACAGAGTGAGAGTGAGAGCCTGTCCCAAAAAAAAAAAAAAAAAAAAAGAGGGTATTGCTACATGTACATGCACACATGTGCAGACATACAGATGCACATGCACATACATTCACAAACATACACTAGTCACTATCACATCTCCCCATTTTATTTTTAACACATCACTTATCACTATCTGGAATCATCTGTTTCCCTATTTACCAGTTTATGATTAGTTTTCCTGTCACCACTATGTCTCCAGCATGGCATACAGTGTTCTCTCAATGTCTCAATGCACATTTGTAGACTGAGAAATGATAGAGTTCTCAGATTTTCTGTAATATGCTTTTATTTTATATTGAATGTTTTTTCCAAAACCGTGAATAAATGACTGAGGAATTTTGTTCACATGCAGAGAAAATTATGATAGCATAAGGTATCAGAGAGATAAAGACTAAAGCAAACCAAAAGGCGACAATTTTGAAAAAAGAGAACCAGAATAAATATTAAAGATTTGAAAGGAAGTAAAGAATTGCTTTAATAGGCTGTATCCTCTACTTCATACCTATTTGCACCAAATCTATTAAGGAAGAAAAAAAGGAAGGTAAGCAGAGAAGGTGATAGATGGGAAAGGAGGGAGAAAGATGGATAAAGAGAGAATCAGAGAGAGGGAGGGAAGGAGAAGTTGATTATTGGTTTCCAAGAGGACTGAGTGAAGTAGATTTTAAAAATAAATCTATTATAAATACTGAAAACTGTTCTCAGTATTTATTCTGAAAATTAAAAAAAAAACTAAAAAAAGTTAAAATATATTTTCTAACTGCTAGTATATCGGTAGCAAAACCTTTGAATATAAAGGACATTTTCTTATATATCTTAAGCAGAGATTCTTCTATAATACAACAGTTTAGTCACTTAAGTAAAAATAATTCCCTTAAGAGACAAGTTAAGGATATGGAAGATATTAACTTGATTAGAGGAAATAATATTATCTATATGAATATGATCTGAATTTCTTCTGCATTATTATCAAATGTTAACTTACTTAATCTTTTAAAAATTGCTAAAAGACTATCAAATTATAAATATAATCAAACATTCAAATCAATATAAATTCAACTTTAATGAAATAGTTTATTAGTGTGGTCTTTTGTAACAAAAGACTTTTATTTTTAATTATTAAAAAACAATAACTCAGATGTAGTAAAGGCTATACTTGTATCTTTGAGCTTCCCTCATTTCTTTCTTATCCAAATCTATCAAAAAACCAACTTAGGCTCTTTAGTTGTGTTTAGATTGTATCACTACTTTTTTTCATCACTCTTTGGCATCAAAGTTCTCTCTCTCCCTTTTATGTTTCAAATGACAATAATAGTAATTATAAATGAATATTGTTTCTCCTAAAAGTCATAAATACAAATCCTAAAAATGGTATTCTCAAAAATGAGAAATCTCCTAGTCACTTTTGTCTTCATATACATACTTGAGACAGTTGCCCAAGTGATGAGCAATGATATTCTGATATCTGCATTGCACAGAAAAGCAATATGGTAGAAAATATAGCAGGAATATTATAAGATAATAATGCTCCATACATTCAATGCCACAAAATTCACCCCATCTAATCTCCCACAGTAAGATTAAGTTCTGTTAACCATGCGAGGCAGATGAGTCCTATGTGTGATATAACCCATCTCAGCCAGGAAGTCAATTATCCCATGACTCTCCCACTAAGTAAACAAATGTGTAACAGTTTCCCATACACATTGGGCTAAAAACTAAACAACTTATTAATTTGTAATTCTATTTCATCTTCCTCTGTCTTATCATGAATACTTTGGCAAGTATTTAGTGCCAAAAGTAGCTAGACTAATCTCATTACAAATTATTTTTGGGTCTCTACAAAGTCGAGTAAACACAGCTGGCTTTGTTCTAGCAGCTTCCAGTTTTGCTGTGGAGTTTCACATCAAATACAAGAAAAAAAGTACAACAAAAATGAAAATGACATTTAAATAATATAAACACTATACTGGAAAACAAAAAAAAGTAGATATTCAACATGCAGCACATCTATATTTCTTAATGAGAAGGAGAAAATAAGCCAAAAAGAATAATTATATAACTATTGATTATATTACTTTGAATTTCCTTTATTTCATGACCACAAGCATCCTAAATTTAATATTTATTTTACCATAGCCACAAGCATCCATTCTGTTACTGAGTTTTTTCAACTTACTCTCCTTTTAAAACACCTAAATCAGTTTTAAAAGAAACTCTATGTTGCTATACAAATAAATGGCACTTGTCATAAATAAAAGATAACTGTGAAAAGACATACATAATAATTGTTAAATTAGAAGACATAAAGGAGATAAATAAATAGTAATTGATGTAACAGACCAGAGAGAACCAGTGAAATGGTGAGGGAATGTTTAATCATTTTGCAAATGTTAATCAGTTGGGGTCACTGGTTATCCAATGAAATAGGGAGTGAGGGGCTAGATACCAAAATAAGGAGTGTCGATTGAAAACCTGTTTAAGAAACTGTCTAATTCTTACAAGTGTTGGAGATAATGTTTTGAAACTTTCCAAAGAGAAGAACAAACACACAAAACAGTCAAAAGAGAAAAAAAATGAGAAAATTAGAGGACTAGTCTAGGAAGTTCATTATCTACTAATAAGAATCACAGCAAAGTAAAACAAAGCAAATATGTGGAGTAAATAGTGAGTAAAGTAATTCAAGAAAAAGGAATTTGCAGGCTGAAAGAACTCACTAAGTGAATGGAAGAAATGGAGTCACACCTTGGAATTCACGAGCTTCAGAGTACTAAGGACAAACAGAAGATTCTATAATCCTTCAGAGAAAGAAATATGCACATAGGCATAAATGCATGATTAGGAATCAGAATGTTTCAGATTTCTAATAGCAACTCCGAAAGCTAGAAAATGATAAAGAATTACCTCCAAGGGAAATGGTTTCCAATTTAGAATTAGATACCAAATCAAACTATAAACCAAATGTGAGAGTAAAAGAAAAGTATGTCAGATATAAAGTTCTTAACATTTTACTTCCCATGCATTCTGTGAGGAATAGAGAAAACTATTGAAGAATGTACTCCACCAAAATGTGGAAGAACAAACACAGGAATGAGGCAAAGAGAATCTCCAGGATGATGGGAGGAGAATTCCTACCAGTTGGCAGCATCCAGTGTCACCAGTCCAAGCTCAACTGGACTGAAGACTCTGGTCAGAGCTCTTTTGGGAGAAGAAATTGATAGCATATATAATGCATCTGGTTTACTTGAAAGATGAGTTAGTAAACTGGCTGTGAGTTTGGCATTAATTATTAGTACACAGAAAACTATGTAAATGAAGAACAAGAAGAAGCAGAGAAAGTAGATGAAGTGGAAGAGGAGGATGGCATAATGAAAACAAAAATCAACAATTGTTAACTCATAGAAAAATCAGAAATCACTTCAAGGTTTAGCTCTGAAAAGAAATTTACTTAGAAATAATAATTCAGACATTGATTATTGCTCTCACAAAATTACAGTGTAACCACTTAGGGGGAATGGAGACATGGAAAAGGCATTTGTGTGTGTGCTTGTTGTGTGTGGTAACCTCTTAGGAGGAATGAAGAAATAGAAAAGGTGTTTATGTCTGTGCTTGTTGTGTGTAGAGGAGATAGGGATAGGAAAGAGAAATAAATTCTTGTCTTCCACAGGAGAAAGTTAATTGGCAATATCTAAAAAGGAAACAACCAAACATGCTTTTAGAGTAATAAAGATAAATACCAAAATAGTCAGCTAAAGGTATGAAAATAGTGTATTCTAATGAGAATTTAGAGGCTGGGAGGAGGAGATTACTTTTCTTGACAAATTTTACAGAATGATTTGGCTATTGAAACATGGCTAAATATAATTTTTTAATAAAAAGTTTTTTATAAAAAAGGAATATCAATTTTTGAATACTCAAAAAAATGTAAAAAAAAGTGTACTGAGCTGAGAGTAATGATACTGAATATTAAAATACATTATAAAGCTACAAAAATAAAAGCAGTTTGGCATTAATACATATATGAGCACAAATGAGAAAATCAAGAAATAGATATGAATATGTATAGAAATTGAGTACATGGTAAATTTGACAATCCTATTCAGTGGGAAAAAATGAGTTATTCAATATCAGATGTTATGATAATTAGCTAGCCATAAATAAAATAATAAAAATGGATTTTCACCTCATTCTTTACACTAAAATGATTTTGAGATAGATCAAATATTTAATTTAAAAATGAAACCATAAAAGAATTTGAAGAAATCACAGGATCATACTTTATAAACTAATGTTGGAATTTGTAGGAAAGACATAAATCTGAAAGCCACAGTAGAAAAAAAGTGATGTTTATTTAAAAATTTAGCTCTGTAAAATTGTATCGATTAAAAACAGAGCCCGAAACAGCCACAAACTATGTTAAAAATCAGATGACAAACTGGAAAAATTATGTATAATATATAAGACAAAGGTTAATATGTACTAATTAGACATTATAAATGTATTAGAAAAAGATGAACATCTTGGTAAAAGTGGTTAATCATTTAAAAACATCATTCATTAAAAATGAAATACAAATAGCTAAATACAGAGGGAAAATGCTCAAGGTCATTAGTAATGCAAATTAAAATAACAGAATACTATTTGGGCCTATTACACTGCAAGTTATGAAAATACCAATATTATTTGTATCTAGTGTTGTCAAGTAGTGAACAATTCATATAAGAGTAAATGAACAATTAATATAAGAGTAATAGGAATGTAAATTACCTCAACTTTTTTTTGAAATTTTCTGACAATAAGTATCAAAAGCCCTTTGATCTAGCAATTTCACTTTTAGGAATTAATCCTAAAAATAAGATTATTGTGCCAAGAATATATATAGAAATAAACTTATGACATCGGTAAGACTGACACAATTCATCTGTCAGTAAGGGTTTGGTAAACTAAATTATAGCATATATATCAGACAGAATATTATGCACGTATAAAACAATTTGGATTTATATTTACTGAAATGGAAAGATATTCACAATGTATTGTTGATAAATGAGGTAGCAAGTTCACATACAGGAAGTATATAGTGTTCCTATTTTAGTCAATGTATGTGTATAAAGAAAAAGCTATGAAGTGAGGGACTCACTGCAGTGCTACAATAGCTAACTTTGGAATGTGACTGCCAACTGTATTTACTGTCCTCACTTTTCTTTTTCTTGTTTTGCAGTGTTTCTTCAATAATTTTTAAAATACAAAGAAAAAGGAAAAAATTCATAATATTTTGTGATTAATAGGAACCCTTAAATCCAAGGTGGGAATAGCTAGTTCAAAAGGGAACACATACGTAAAAAGTGAAAGCATAAAGGTAACAAAACACAGCATTTCAAAAGATATGTGTTTAGAATAGGCATTTTTTTCTTTTAGTGGGAAGTTCTATGATTCCTGTCACTTTAATATTGTCTGATGTTTGCATAGGTTATAATTCAAACTACACATTTTAGGAATACAACTATCTTTCACTTTGTATTTTTAAAAAGATAGACTGTAGAAAAAAAATTAAAAATAAAACAAAAAAGTAACAGATAATTTTTAATTGCCATAAGTGAGGGATTTTTGAATGCCATTTAAAAACCCACATCTTGTATTCTTAAATGGCCTTTGGCTGCAACATGGCTGGCCTTTGCCACTAAAGAGCCCAACAATTACACAGCACTTGACATTGCCTTTTGCCCTTTTCTGTAGCAGTGTGTGTGCTTCATGACTTCAATGAAAGAAACAGGAAGGAATATAATTCATGGCAAACTTGGCTTTGATGTGCATCCAGCCACATGCTGGGATTGCTCTTTTTTTTTTTTTTTTTTTTTTTTTTTTTTTTTTTTTTTTTTCAGTTCTTGATGTATAGAATAGGCTAGAGGGAGCAAACACAACCTGGCTAAATCCTACACAGCAGGATTGTGGCAAGTGCTAGGGCCATTTTCAAGCAAGTGTTTCAATACAATGCACTGTTTAAACTCCGTATGTAGAAGTCTGTGCATGCTAACTGTACCAAGAAGACTATCTTCCTCTTCTCCTCTGAATCTGACTCCTCTCTCCTTATTTTGTTTATTGGTTCCGAAGATCTAATGTGAGCTTTAGAAAAAGAAACCTAAGCAGAATTCTAGCACATGAAGTTCTTCTCTATCCGCTCAGTTATGCAAATCTCCAGTCCTTGGCACAATGCTAGAGACAAAGTCTGTATAATGAAGCAGCGCCATTTCCCACCCCACATCAACTATCTTTGAAGAGAAGCCAGGAGGCTGATACACCTCTGAATTCAAGTGAGCTCAAATCGGAAATTCATGAAACTAATCTACTCATATCTGTTTATCCTGTAGGATAGTTTTTCCACTGGGGGAAAAAAAAAAAAAAGACTGATAAAGTAAGAGAACCTAGTTGCCTGTCTGGTGTCTCACAAATCAACTTCTCAACTTGACTGAGGTATACATACAGCCTTGGTCTACAGAACTGTATGATGCCTGATTCCTTCACTTCAGTTCCAGAATTCCGTTCTCACTGTTGCTCTGCACTAAAAATATAAATGTCAGGTATTTGTTGCTTAAATTAATATAATTTTTATTTTGTAAACTTTTTATTTCTTGATGTAAACTCTTAAGGGTTTAAAGTACATGCACACACACACAAGCCACACAAGCAAACACACACTAGGAGCTCAGGACCTTGAAGAGTTGCTCATCATAAGTCAAATATGTGCCTGGTAAATAAATTTGAGTTTGTATTTAAATCGATATCACTCTTTCAGCATTAATTAGCCTAGACACACTTTTCTTCTAGAATAATGGACCTCTTTCAGGGTGTTTGTATATGCTGTTTTTCTAAAATAATTTATGGATTATCCTAGTAACCATTTCACCTTAATATTTCATTTCATGCAATTATGTGTATGATTTTTCTCCATAAATTGTACAAGACTCCAAATTAGAAGAAATCTAATATTTTCATAAAATAAAGAATATTTTTCTATTCATTAATCTATGGAAACTTGAAATATGTTATGATATTAATCTGAGATTTTTAAAGACTAATATGTTTCATAGAAAGAAGTGTTTTTGGGCACATTAAGATTCCCAAACATATGTATGATGAGCAGTTCCCAAAGCTTTCTGGCACCAGCAAACTTAGTAAAATATATCAGGATTCTTCTAAAAGGTTTGGTAAAGTATGTGTGATAATAATTTAATCAGTAAAATATGCATCAATAATAGGGTAAATGCCTTTGCAATCTTGAAATATTTATTAAAAACAATACTCATGATTAGAAAAACTAGATATTCTGATTTGTACAGAAACATTCAACTGCATTTTCTCATGATTTTTATATTTAATTCATTTTATTTTAAAAAGTACTTACTCTTGCATGTATATTTTCCTGTAAGAGAAGAAGAAGAGAGTAAATTCATGTAAATCCTTTTATTTAAGGTAGTATACAAACATAATAAGTAATTTTCATGCATGCCTTATAGAAGTAGTCTCATTATTTTATAATTACGTCTCTAAAGAATAAAGAAGATGAAAATTTTTATCTAAAAGCCTCAAGTAGCTATGGATAAATAAAATAATAACCTGTGTTTATTATCTGATCACTGTGGCCTTTGGTTTCCAACTATTTGGAGTAAAATAACTGTTTTCAATATAAACAATTTTATGGCCCATCCCATAATAATAGATGGTCTTGTTACATTCAGTGATTGAGAAAAAATTTAATAAGTACCTAAGCTGAATTTTATGACATTTAGCAGATTTAATAATTTTTTTTCCGTTAATCCCAGTACTTTGTATATGTGGAAAACAGTGTGGGACATGTGTGAAGCAATTGTTTCCTCAATCTTCAGACTGCTATATGAATAGATTTCTAGACATCCTAATATAACTAAGTTTGACTGAGTCTAAGACCTGTTCGATGGGAATCAAGCACGTAATTACAATTTTTAAAAAATTAGCAGCTGTTATAATTTTAGACAATTATTGATGACTGTTTAAAGAACTCTTTTATGGCAATGAAAGAAATACCACCACCACCCCCTGCCCAATATTTCCTTCCAGTCATTTCCTTTAAGCTTACATGCTTCTTTCTATCCTTTTCTAAAGGGAAATTCTATTTGTCAAATACGCTTTGTTGATCCTAGGTCAGAAAATCTGGGGAAGAAAATGAATAAAAATAAAGAAACGATTTTCCATGCAAACAATTAAGTGAATAAGGTGATCATTTAGGAACCAAAACACATACTTTGAAGTTGAAAGAATAGATTATTCTTTTAACTTCAATAGGAAACATGGATGTTTTTCTGTTTCATTTATTTTATCCAAGTAAAACCTAAATATCATAATAAATTAAACATTGTGTTTATGTAGTATAACACTGTATGAAAGGGAATCCGAGAGATTTTCCAATAGGATAAACCACAACCTGTGGAGTAGGGGCACTATATTATAATATCTTTTAATTTGTTCATCATTAAAAAAAAAATCTCTCTTTTAGGCTGAAACTTTGCAGAAGGTAATCCTAACAAAGGCCAATTCAGAAAGGAAGAATTTAAATTGTGTCCATTTACCCTTTTATGGGTTAAAGTAATTTAATGTCTATCACTATACCTCCTACCTCATGAGCACATTATCATTTGACTCACAATTAACAAGTTTTCATGTGACTATTCCTTAAGGATCATAGTCTTTGTTCAAACATGATGCCATATAACAAGGAACTGAAGGGCTTTCCAAAAGTGATTTTAATTTTTACTTGGAACACTCCATTAGAATAATGAGTATAAAATGTGGTGAACAAATTGAAATGTATTCCTTTGGATTTTGCATTGCATGAGCTTTTAGCTTCCTCCCTGAATGGAGAAGCTCCAGGAGTAATGTGAGCAGCCAACGTGCCCAGATGACTAGAAGTCAGAAGTTTTCCTCCTGAGGATGATGGCCTTGATTAGCAAGAAGAAAATACAGATGAATTTATAATAACTAGACAAGAAGCTAGAAATGTGTCTTGCATCTATCAAAAAACTTAGAAAACCCCCTTCATTCTCTTTCTATTACAAAATAAACAGATCTCTGGGGCCTCTTAAATGCAGCAGGGACTTTAGTGGTATTTATAAATGGAAAAGCAGAAAAAGGAGGCAGCAGACAGGCTATTCTAATTATAGCTACATTTGCATTTATAGCCACGCTATCTTTCACTTTCCTCATACAGATCAGAAACCTTAAATAACCCCAAGAAAACTTAGTAATAAGATTTTTAGCAATAACTTCCATAACTTTGGAGACAATTTTAATATAGTATTTTACACAATCTTAGTAGCCACTAATTTGACTGTCAAAACTTCTTGTTGAATAAATAAAAACTTGCTAATTTCCAGTTCGTAGACTATAGATGCAGATGTGTATTTGCTTTTGGATAGCCTTAACATCTTTTCTTTTTGAAGGTCTCCAAACTCTGAAATTACTGCTTAGATTGTACCTCTATTGATGAAAAAACCCCACCTGCTTCAGGGAAAGCAGCAAATGAGTACTATAAACATGATTTCTCCCTCTAATGTAGTTCTTAACTTGTATGTGTATGGAAAAATCACCTGAGGGTGCTTGTTAAAAGAGCAGACCCTGAACTGGACCACCAGAAATAATATTTTTTTGGTCTGAGGGAGAGCATGGGAATCTGTACTTTTAATACACAGCCCTGGAGGATCTGGCGCAAGGGAACTTACATACAAACACTGCCCTCATGTTACAAAAGGATTCAATATTATTCTCCCTTTTGAAAGATAATTGGCCCCAAAGAAAAACGGAAAGTTAGAAACTTGGGTCTGTTGCAATATCTGTTACTCCTCTTTGGGAATTAGTCTTGAACTGCAGCCACCCTGAAAGCTTCTGGTGTTATTTAAATTAATTCTTGTATTGTTATTACACTTTCCACATGGTTTTGTTTATCTCCTCAACTAGAGATTATGTTCCTGAGAGGCAAGAACTATGCTGATATACATACATACATACATATATATATATATATATATATATATATATATTTTTTTTTTTTTTTGCACACTCCTTATGAGAATCTAATGCCTGATGATCTATGCTGATATATTTTTTAAAAATATTTTCAACATTATCTAGCACTTTTAATAAGTATTTATTAGGTCCTCAACAAATGTACTTTAATTTTGGTTAAAAAGCAGCCTCAACTGCTTTAAAATCCACCTTAACTTCTGAGGCATGAAGCCACTTCTCTCATGGATATTGCTCCAAACAAAGATTTCCAATATCCTTGCACAGTATAAGATGGAGGCCACACCTAGTATTCATTAGAAATTGGCAACTGCACCTGGGCTGTGTTATCTAGCCACAAGGAAAGGCACAGTGGTAGTAATAGCTTTGACTGATTACTTGGCAAGGGAAACCAAGCCCTTAGGGTGTTTCAGACTGTCTTTGGCCTATAAACCTGTTTGAAAACCTGTTTCTCAGAATTTAAAGCTTAGCTTGATTGAGGTCAGTATTATAGTAATGTCAATAATTCTACTGCCCTCAGCCTTCAGGCAGACCAGTACAATCCATCATTAACTTTATTTTCATGGAAAGGCAACTTTTGGGAAAATAGCTCTAACTTCACCTATTTTATTAGATTTTCTTTCCTTTAAGAAATAGTTGTGCCGATATTGCTTCTTTTGGATTTTTTGCTTTCTAAACCTTAACACCTTCCAGTGCCTGAAACTATTACCTAAAATCAGAATAGCTCTAAACACAAAATTTGGGGCATTGCCAGAGCAACTACTTGAAACTTTCAGAAAAAGACCAAATAAGCCATTGGGTCTGAAAATAATTTTCAGTAACTGAGACTTCATGAGGTTCTAAAATCACCTCTACCTTTAGCTGCTTTTTGGGGATGTGATGCTGGGCTATACTGCCTAGTGGAATTTTCTGGCAGGTTCTATTTCTTTCTCTGAGGAGTCAAAAGCTTAATGAATAGTAAACTGACATTCTTCCCTCTATGAACAGACAGCTCCATTTCTGGTGAACAGTTAGAAGCACATGCCCAAAGTAGATGCACCACATTCTTTTCAGGCAAGGACCTCCATCCCCAGGGCTGGCATTGAGCGGGGATGATCAAAGGTGCTAAATGTTCACTTGCTGTGACATTTCTCACTCTTAGTTCTAGAAGCCAAGAAGGAAAATGGCTCCAGCTTTTATTGGATCAGATCTTGCCACTTGTTTAAGGTAGGAAAGGTGTTCATTCAAACCCAGGATAATACCATTTCCTTTTTTCCCAAAGGAAAAAAATCCGAACATTTAGAGGACTGTGCTTCTAACATATGAATTTATTAAAATGGCCACAACATCAAACTTGCATGTTTCTCTGAATCTATATTCTAACACTGAACTAAACTGAAAATAGTGAGAAATAATTAACTGGAGCTATTTGCTCATTACATCTTATATTTAACACTTATCTGGTCATATTGAGTTCCTTAGGGCAGAGTCTAAGTCTTACTTACTTTTGTATTCTTAGCACACAGAACTACACTTGGCACAGCACAAACACTAAATAAATGCTTGAGATTTGGTGACTTGAATTCTTTTCCATGGCATGAAGAATGGTTAAAAACCACAGTAATTTAATGACCAGTAGAGGGCAATAAAGTTGAAATTTTATTTATTAAAAAAAAAAAAATTCACTGGACTCATTTTAAACTCACTTTCAGACCCAATTCTAGCCTGGAAACGCTTCTTCCAGAGTAGTATTGTGATTTCACTTTAATGCAGTTAAAAACCTCTTGTACCACATTAGGATCCCCATCCCCATCCCGGTTGGGGATCCCTTCTTCCCCCACCACAGCAGAGCATACGGGGAGGTGTGCTACAGGGTCAGATGGGTGTGCATTGACTTATACACCACAGCTCTGTTTGTTTAATTCCTGGTCTAATCAAGATTATTTGGCAGTGGATGCATACCACTTGAAAGGGAGAGTCTGTAAGAGAACCACTGGGTAAGATGTGCAGTATGGCAGTAATTTTGGCTTTAAGCTTCATGTGGTAGAAAACTGCATATTCAGTAAAATACCAATTTCATTTAAAATAATCAGTGCAAACACATACTCACATTTATGCATATAAATAATATCAGAAGAAAATGATTATTAAAAAGAAAATGGTTAATAGTGAAATAGCAAGGGGTTTTTATCTTACACATACTTTCTTATATTTTTCAGATTTTCATAGTGAATAGATATTTTCTCTAGAAAAGAAAAAGTACATTATGTAGCACCCATTACTGTTTTAGAGATGAGGAAGGAAGGCATGAGTAATTGTTTTGAAACTAACTTTAGCTAAGCCTGCCTTGTCTTCACCAAAATCTCCCCACAGTGAGTTTGGGGAAAGAAGATGGCCATGCAGAGTCACAGGCCATTCCACTAACTCCTTTAACCCCTGTACTCCAGTGGTCATAGGGCCACGTGTTATTTCACATACTCCTTGAACTATCTGGGAGCAGGCAAGTTACAATAGCTTTAAGAAGAGGCTTTTCTTCCACATTTTATATTTTGATATTGCATTTTTCAATCTCTACAGAGCTCTATATCTTTTCCCATGTTATTTTTAGTCATTCTCACAGGGGGGAAAAAAAGTCAATCAGGGCTTCTGGCATGTCAGCTTTTTATAAAGGAATGCAAAGCAGAGCTCCCAGCAAGCCTCATAAAACAGGATTTATGTGAGACCTTTCATCTACATTCATTTAAAATGTTCCCTGCTAGGCAACTGAGAGGAGCTGGGAATCATCATTTGAAAAGGCCTTACTTTAAGGACTGGATACAGTGGCTCAAATGTTGCTTCAGCTCTTCTTCCTTTTCATAGGACTCCAGTACACTATGTGCTTCATCATGGTGATAGCAGTAAATTTTATAAATATCTTCCAGTGGCCCTTTAATCTGCAGGAATACTTCTCCTGATAAATGCAAAACAAAGGCAAAATGACAGTATCGGACAAAACTGGCACTTAGCGTGTTTATTTTCTACAATGTTAACTACTGTCAAAAAGTAGGATGGGACCCACTTTTTCCTCAGGTTATTCAGGAAAGGTGGAAAACACTGAGTGATTTTCCCCCCTTTTCTTTCTTTTCTTTCCCTTTTCCTTCCCTCCCTGTTTTCCTTCTTTGCTCCCTCTCTTTTTCTGTCTTTTCTTCCTTTCTTTTATAAAACAAAGGATGAATAAGTTATTAGAGACAGGCAGCAAAAGAAAGCTGGTTTTCTCAAAGGTGACCTTACAAGGTTGATGTGCAGGATTGTGGTTAACAGTTGCAATTTAGAGTTGGTGAGCATGGATTTGAATCAGGCTGTGCTACAGACTTGCACTGTGACTTGAGCAAGTTATTTTAACTCTCTAAACTTGATGACAATGATAGATTCAATTTCAGGAAGTTGTTATAAAAATTAAAAGAGGTGGTATTTGTAAAGTTCAGAGTATAGTAAATACATATGGAATGCTCGACATGAAGCAGTTTTTGTTAATTTATTAGAGATAGAGAAGGTGAAATTTCAGGTGCTGGGTAGGTTATTTTTCAATATTTACTGCACTAATATTTCCTGAGACCCTCTGAAAGGCAAGCAATGGGGTTTAGAAAAATTAAATATTTCCTTCTGTGTGATAATAAAAAAATTAATAATTATTTAAAAAATCAGTTTAATACTGTGAACCAAGGTTATGATTGTGTCTTTATAAAGCACCTTAGGCTAATTTTATCCAGGCATTTAATGAATCCTTTCTAATATTATGATAAAATAGGGTCTATAACTTGTGGCTCAAGTAGGTATTAGACAACAGTTTGATTTGATCACACACTCCATTTACTTAAAGATGAGTATTATGCATCCACTACCTAACCCAGCACTGTATTACATTATTTGGCAGATACCCAAGAAATACATGACAGGGTCAGCTCTCAAAACATTGCAAATTTGAGATTGATAATGATTTGGTGGCTGAATTAATTTGGATGGCTTAATAGATTAACAGTGATCTGGACCTATTAATCTGGACCTATTATAGTTAACAGGAGTAAGTCATTCTTTCCACAGAAATAAAAGTGCCCTTAGTATTTTCAACATGTTTTTCACACATTAACTTCTTACTCGCATGAAGAGAGAAGAGGTTATTTATCCATATTAATTAAGGATGAATAAATCTGAGTTTGAAACAAATAAACTATTTTCTCCAAGTCCTATCTAGAGGTGGAAAGGCAGGATGAGAGGCCATATTCTTATTTTTTCCTTGAATTTTAGCACATACCCCTCACCCCAACCAAGTTCAGAGCTTTGCTGAACACTGTATTGGGTGATGCACTTGGAAAGAATGCTAAACTCAAAATCAGAAACAATTTAGGGTTTGTGTGGGGAATTTGAGAATGACTTTTTAAAATTTCAGTAGCTTTTAGGGTACAAGTGGTTTTTGGTTACGTGGATGAAATATACAATAGGAGAATGACTTTTTAAATAATTGAGTCTTAGTGCCTTCATTTTATTTGTAAAATGAAAATAATAGAAGCCATTGAGACTCATTTGAGAGTGAAATGGGGTGACAGATATAAAAAACACTCACCACTGACTAGTTGCTCAAGAATTGTTATTTATCTCTTAAGGTTGCTTTACTACCTCGAGAATTAAAGCACTAGCACTTTTAAAGTATCACATTCTTTTCTAATTTATATACAGCCAATAAAAGATTTTTCCTTGTCATTATGTGGGATTTTTCTGTGATTATATGATTATAGTTAGACTCTGAGATAATGTGAAATAATGTGCACACGTGCAAGTGTGTGTGTGTGTTTGTGTGCATGTGTGTGTGTTTTAAGGTTTTTGTTTGTTTTAGTAGTGTTTTTGTGGGGGCCTGTAGGAAAAGTCAATGACTGAGCATCTTTGGAGCTGAAAGATACAAGATTCTTGCTTTGTTTCTGATATTTTACAGAGTTCATCATTCTCATAGTGTAGCTCATATACATTTGTTCTTCAAGACTAATAACAATACAAACAGTAAGAGATATCGAGTAGAGGAAAGAAAACAAAATAAGACAGTGATTGAATTTAGGGTTGGGCATAAGGTAGCAGAACCAGGGAGCACATGGGAACTAGTGGCTTCTGCTGGGAGGTCCCAGAAATGCAACTGGTGACAGGCTTAGATCACAGACTTAGAATGGATTCTCAGCAGCAAGTGGACAACAGTGGACATGCATAGACACAGCCCAACACAAAATGAAGCTGTAAATAAGTGTGCTCACTACAAAGAAGCTAAAAGCAGAGACCAAAAAAGGAAAGAAATAAGGACAATCTTGTGAATCCACAAGGTGATCAAATCAGAAAGTCAAAAAACAAAGAAGAATGAAAACACTTATTTTTATACACAATGAACCCATTAAATGCAAATTATCTTGCATTTTCTTTAACAGAAGTGGTCTAGTTTGAAAGAATTTATAGCTCTTCCCTTAACAGAAGAATCTTTTTTTTATTCTTTTCCAAGTAAAATTCTGTTGAGGCTCTAATAATAATTATTAAAGTTAAAAGATATTTAGTACTCTAATTGAAAGTCATTTATTCACCCAAAGGCCAGATAAAACACTGGCAGGCAGAAATATTTTATTCTCTTCCCAGCCCTAGCAATGTATCCTGCTTCATAATAGTGCAGATGAAGCAGTGTGTCTTGCAGCAAAAAGTGATTCTGTTTCCACGGTAACATAACTCTCGACTGCGTTTCTTTAGTGGTGAAGGACAACTGCTCTGTCTACTGTATGTGGGTTTGAGGGGATGATTAGCAGCAGAGAAGGGACTAAGCCAACACCATTGAAGGTGATTTCACTTGTAGCTGCCTATCACAAAGGCACCAGAATCCGATAAAATAAATAAAACGAGTGTGCTCTTCTTTTTAAAAATTCTACAACCCAAGAATTTCTGCATCGACATCCCCAAAAAGCAATTGCCATGCAAAGGAGAAAAAAATGCACCATTTTAAATCTCCTTAGTTATCTTCATTATAAACAACTTCCCAAAATATTGATATTATGTCTGGATATCATTACTCCTATGTTGCAATATGTTCCCTTTACCGATGTGAATAAATGTATGCTGCTCTTTCTGTTTATTTCATGTGCAGCCCAACATGTGCCATACCAAACCAGTTGGCTTCTATATTATTGTAATCCTGCACCAAGATGAATTTCTTCTGCAGGTAAGTAAACCAGGGTAAAGTCAATGATTTTCAAGGGATCTCCTCATCCTGGGTTTTGTTTAGGAAAATGGCATAAAAGGGAAGAAGTAGTTGTATTCCTTAGTTCATTCTTCTTTGAAAATTTACTGGATAATCATCATGCACGAAACACTTTGGTAGGTCCTGTAGATACACAGAACCAACTCTTCCTTCAAGGAACTTATACAGGATACCAAGGGAGAGAGAGAATACTCAACTGCCATTTACCACACTATGTGAAAAGTAATAAAGTACAGAGGGGCAACTATTCAGCCCTTGGGGAGCTTTGATCAATGCTCATAACAGTGTGCCCTTGAAATAGGACCTCTGAGTGAGTGCAAAAAGCCAGGAGATAGGTGTCAGGGGTGAGGTCTGTTCAGAAGCTTGCAATGCTCTAGTATGGCTGGATGGGACCACAGCACCCTGTGGAGCAAAGCTGCCAGACAGCTCTAGAACACACGTCTTCAGATTTTTACACAGAGGGTAGAGATGGCCCACTCTCACATGTCTGTGAGGAAGTTCCAGAAGGGACTGTGGAAGTGGGCTGGGGCCAGATCATGAAGGACTTTGTGCAACATTAAGGAGGCAGAACTTTCACCTGAAAGTGATGGGGAAGAAGCACTGATAGATTTTAGGCAACTGATCAGATTGCGTTATAGAAAGACAATTCTGGCAGTTATTCACATGAAAGAAAAAATTTCGGGGAGGAGTTGGTGAGATTAAAGAAGATAAACAAATTGAAAGGCTTCTATAATAATAAAGTAAATAAACAATGAGGGGCAAAAACAAAGTTATTGTAGTTAAGAGAGTGCACTAGAGTCAACTGCTTGGGTTCAAATCCTGGTTTTACCATTAATTGATATGTGACAGCTGGGAAAGTTACTTATCTGTTCCTTAATTTTCTCATCTTTAAAATGGAGATAATAATAATAGTAAGGTTGTTTGAAGATTAAATGAGTTAAGATATGTAATACATTTGCATCAGTTGCTGGCACATGCAAATGCCCAATAGATGTTAGCTATAACTAAAGCAAAAACAAAGAGGAAGAAGGGGAAAAAATGGACATCAAACATGTGAGAGATGATTCCAGGCATATGCAAGAACTGTGGTTTAAGTGACCATGTGGGTAGACACTGACGGCATAACAGAGTATAATGGAAAAGATGATGAATTTAATTTTGGATGTATTGAGTTTGACTTGCTTATTGTATATTCAAGTAGAGAAGCCCTTTATGAAATTGAATGTATGAATCTGGGATTTAGGGAAATGATATCTTGGACAGAGATGTAGGTTTGTAAAAATTGGGTAGTAGAAGGCACAAATTTATATGGTCATGCAAGAAATTTCAAAGAGTGAGAAAAAAAAAAGTGCTTGAGGACCAGATGCTGGCCAACACTAACATTGAGGGCAGTATAGGAGCAAAGGAGACTACAGAGAAGCCTAAGAAGGCATAGCCACAAAGAAGGATCAGCATGAGGAAAGACAAGAACAAAAATTGAGAAATACTGCCAAGATTGAATAAGTCTGTGGGTTTACAGGTAGCAGAGCTTGCTAGTTGTCTCCCCATCATCATAATCCGCTTCTAAAGAAATAAAAGTTTTGGCTGCCCCAAATTGAAATGGCATTTCCCAGCCTCCCATGTAATTGGTGTGGCCATGTAATTAAAGCCAACAATGGGATATAAATGAAAGTGTCCCGTGACAGTATCCA